GCCCCGCCCATGGCCAAGCCTTTCCTCTAAGCGGCTTGAGGTGGGAGGGTTCTTGGGACATTTGGTTCCTGTGTTGCTGTGGGCACAGCTCAGGATCACAAACATCCATGTCTACGAAGGACCCACGGCCATAATTTTGACAAGAACTGTCTTTCCTGAAACTCTGGCTTCTTGACACTTACGGTGGTTTTGATCAAAAGCCCTCGGAGGGAAGCCCGGTGCCACCCAGAGGGGAAGAACATAACCTGTCACGTTCAGAAGTGCTCCTGCTCATCCTTGACGTACTCCGTTTTCACTCCGCTGTGACCCTGAAAGGGGCAATTTCTCTGCAGTGTTAGGGACCCAGCCCGTCTGTGTGGGTAGACACAAATGACTGTGCCAGGCTCTCAGCATCTGGGTGCACCAGCCGGCTCCTCGGGGACATCCCCGGCTGCAGCAGAGTCGCACCCAGCCCACACCTACATACCTGCACGTCTCACCTGCCAGGACACGGCGCCTGAGCCTCTGTGCGGCACCTGGACAGACAGAGCCTGAAATGATTCTGAGCAGGACAGGCTGATCTTTTTTCTGGCTTTCTCTGAATGACTATTTCCAATTTGGTTAATTAAACGTAATTCAGGTTTTATCAGTAGGTGCCAGCTCATCTGACCAAATCACCTGGGCCAGAGTACTGAGTCAGGAGGGACCTGGTTCAGTGCCCCCGCCAGCCGCCCCCCCAGTCACTTACACGCCTTTTCTCTCCTTCCCTGGGGTTTCTCGCGCCCACGGGGCCAGACAGTCTCCTGACAGCTCTCCATGTGCAGGTAGATTATTCCTTCTCCTGTACGGAAAGGTTTTGCTTCTAAGAATGCAGTATTGCCTGGAAATAACAAGAACAAGGAGAAGAGGGAAGAATAAGAAGTAGAATTAGGAGGAGGAGGAAGAGAAGGAAAAGGAAGAAGAGGAGGAGGAAGAAGAGGAAAGAAAGATGAGAAGGAAATTAGAGGAGGAGAAAGGGGGCTTCACATTCATTTAAAAAAACCTTTTTGTTTTCAGGTAATAATAACATGTAATTGTAAGAAATAATACAGAGATTCCCCATACCCCTCCCCCAGTCTCCCCCAGGGGTAACGTCTTATATAAGCATATGATAGTATCACAGCCAGGAAATCGACAGTGATGCAGTCTGTGGACTCGATTCATAGTTCTCCAGTTTTACATGCACTCATTTGTGCGTGTGTTTAGCTCTACACAATTTTATCGCGTGTAAATTCATGTGACCACCACCACTGCCAAGATGCAGAACAGTTCCACCACGAGGACCCCTTCTTAGCCACAGCCCACTCCTCCGCCCCGCAAGCACTGATGTGCTCTTTATCTTCATAAACTTGTCATTTCCAGGATGTAGTATAAATGAGTCACATGGTAGGTAGCCTTTTGAGACTAGCTTTTTTCACTCAATCTAATTTCCTGGAGATTCATCCGAGTTGTTACCTGTATCCAGAGTCCATTCTCTCTGTTGCTGAGTAGGGTTCTGTAGTATACTGGTTTGTTGACCGTTCACCTGTTGAAAGACATCCAAGCTATTTCCAGATTGTGGTTATTACAAAGAAAGTCGCTAGGAGCATTGAAGGTAAGGTTTTTGTGTGAACATGGGTTTTCATTTCTCCAGGGTAGATGCCCAAGAGGTTGCATAGTAGTGATATGTTTAGTGTTATAAGAAGCTGCCAGACTGTTTTCTGGGGTGGCTGTACTATTTTACCTCCAACACACGAGAACCCCAGTTTCTCTGCACCCTCACCAGCATCTGGCGTTGTCACTATTTTCCCCAGCCATTCTGGTAGGTGTGTAGTGACACCTTATTGTGGTTTCCATTCACATTTCCTCAACAGCTAATGCCATTAACATCTTTTCATGCATTTACATGCCGGTTGTATCTCCTCTTCAGTGAAATGTCTGTTCATGTTTTTCCTTTCTTTCTAATTGGATAGCTTTTTATTTTTACCATTGATTTACCATTGATGGCGAGTTCTTTATATATCCCAGAAAATTAGCATTGTCGAATATGTGGTTTGCAAATACTTTCTGTCTGTCTGTAGCTTGACGCTCATCCTGTTCAAGGATCTGCTACAGCATGAACGAGTCAGTCGTATTTATGACTTTTTTCTTTGCTGGTCTGCATTTTTGGTGTTAAGCCTAAGAACGTTTTCCTAACACTGGAGCCAGAAGATTTTCTTCCATTTTTTTTCCCTAAAAGTGTTGCAGTTTCACATTTTACATTTAAGTCCATGACTTATCTTGAGTTAATTTTTGGATAATGTGTGAGGTTTAGATTGGTTCATTTTTTTTTGTTTATGAGTGTTCATTTTGGTGAATTTTAAAGGTCATCCTTGCAGCAACCTTTTGAAATGGGTATACATTACCACCCCGTTTTACCCATAGAGAAACTCGGAGAGCTTTAGCGATGTGCCAAGCCCACAGTGAATAAGAGGCAGGGAAAAGGCAGGGTTTGAATGCAGGGCCAAATGACTCACATGCTTTGCATTTAAGGCGGCTCCTCCCGCCTCCTGCATCCTTTCTCTCCTGAGAGCTGCTTCCTGAGTGGGTGTTCCAGTTTTCTGCACACATTTCCTCCTGCGCCCAACCTGCCCTCCCCGTGGTACACGGGCTACCAGAATTAGACCCCCCTGGACTTGTCCAGGTGTCCTGTGACATGTCTGCAGAGTGGGGAAGGGGAGCAAATTGGGAAAGTTTCCAACATGCAAAGAGTTTGTCATTCGGCTTTGGGGACAGGCTCCCACTGGGTTTCGTCATCTTCAGAGTGTTAACAACAGCTTTACCAGTACACTGATTTGGGTGTAGCAGGTTGAAAATTTTAGGCTCCCCCTAAACAATCACACACACACACACATTTATTAAGTCCAAATCCAGAAAATTTCCATCCCTGAGCTGCCAAAATAAAATGCATTGATAGAGGTCAATAGGAAAGAAGACTCGGAGCATCCTGAGGCAAAATTCCTACGGCTGGAAATGTTTCTTGCCCCTTCTGGTGGGCTTGGTCAGACCACGCCCACCTTACTTGTTCGCGTTCATCCACACCCATTCCCGTTCATAGGCAGGAGGCAGCTGAGGGGGAGCTGTTGTCCTCTCCAGCTCTCTCCTCCACCTCACTAGCTGTGGACTCCAGCCAGGCAGGGCCTGCACTTCTGCACTCAGACCACCGGAAAGAAATCTGAGACTCTGGGTTGATCTTGCTCTTTCCCAAATCCCCAAGCATCACTCACCTATTAATGAGAGATCTAGGAGTTCTTTGCCTCTGTGACCTTACACTTAGGAAGGTCCCCTCTCCCTGCAACTTCTCCCAGAGCTTGTCCAAAGAACACAGGCTTTCGTCCTGGCCCATTAGGAGAGATAGAGGGGAGAGAAGGAGCCCAGGGTAGTGACTCCGGTTGCTATAGGGATGTGCATATGTCTGCTTTGCCAGATTCTTCAGAAGCCTCAGGGTTGCCTGAACTGATTTAACAGGAGGGCCAACAGTAACACACCTGGGTCCTGTCTGTCCCTCTACCTCTACCCTCAGAGTTCATCTTCCCAATCTCCTTGCTCACCCGCCCAGCAGATCTGCTGATGTCCCTGACGGTAATGTCCTCTCTCATCTTCCAAGCTTCTGAGGGGAGGGGCAGAGGGAGAGACTAGTCTGGGCCAGCAGAGCAGTGGTTTGTGCAGCCCTGCTTGCTGCGGCCACGCTGGGGCCTCCCTCTATTGTCTCTGGGGTATTTGGGATATGTCTCTGGCTCAGATCAGGTTCCATCACCTCCACCTTCTTTTAGGGAGCATGACTCTAGTCTCTGCACCCCCCCCCATATTCTTAAAAGGCTACCCCTTGCTTCCTATGCCTAATTATTTCAATGGGAACCAAAGAGACCTGGGTTTGAATCTCAGCCACCACATGTTAGCTATGGCACCATTCTCTACCCACTGTTTTCAGGCCCAGCTCCCACTCTGTCAAGGGGGAGATCACATCTGTAAATTCTGTGCCTTAGGCAGAGTAGCTACTGACTCCAAGTGAAGCCCATGCTCAGTAGTGGCCATCATTGGTCCCTTACAACAGTCTCAGGGCCCATCTCCAGTCCTTACTCTGCTCACCAGAAGTCGCTCTGGAGGTGGCATGTAACCTCTATCATGCCCACTGCACCTGGGAGTCGGGCAGGAGCCATGCTCCAGCTGTTCCCTGAGCCACTGTCTGGTCCCTGGCACAGGCCACCCTGCTAACAGGGCCAAGGGGTGCACCTCCCCATCTGCACCAGGCACCCATCCCTCTGGAGGTTGGGGCTGAAAGCAGGGCCAAGTGGGGGAGCTCCCTGTAGACAGACACCCCACTTTTCACCCCACGGTTCTGGGTAACCCCTTCTTGGTGACCTTTAAGCACACCAAGATCGGTTGACAAACAAACAAATAAAACCCACAACAACAAAGGAAGCATTAAGCCTGTGGGCCAGCAGATTCAGACCAGAAAAAAAACCAATTTTCTTAGCCATACTTGCTGGGGGGAGGGGGGCGCACTCAGCAGCGGAGACCCCAGCACAGGCCTGACCTTCATAAACCTCAGTACAGGAGCTGCCTGCATACCCGGATCGACCTCCCCTTAGAGCTGTCTCAGCAGCAGACTGCTCTGCCAGACCCTGCTTCCAACTCCGGGACACCTCTCCCTCCCAGCGCCACCCCTAGGTCAAGGGGTGAGTGCAGCTGAGACAGGAAGGACGCGGGCTGCAAGGGGTCTCTTGGGGGTGCTTCGAAGGGACACACCCTCTTCCCAGGCCCGGTCGCATGGCTGCCTGGGGCTTCCGGGCTCAGGTTTGGGATTTCCCCGCCCTTGCAGGGCAGGCTGGGCTCCTCCTCGTGCGAAGGAGGGGGCGGCTCTCCTCCCCTTCGCCAGCCTGGGTCCCTCCTGTCCCGGGACCAGAGCGCTGGAGTCCGCGCCACCGGGGAGCGGGCCTGGAGGGCTCGGGCAGCGCGAGCCCATGGCCCTGGGCGCCGAGCAGCGTCTGGGCAGCCTGGTCGTCTTCACCAGGGACGACTTCGAGGATGACTGGCGCCCCGTGGCCAGCGGCGGCTTCAGCCAGGTGTTCCAGGTGCGACACAAGCGCTGGCGGACCGAGTACGCCATCAAGTGCTCTCCCGGCCTCCTGCCCGAGGCCACCAGGTACCGGTGCGCCCCCGTGCGCTCCCCCCCCCCCCCCGGCCCCTTTCACAGGGGGACGCAGTGCAGGGAGCTCCCAGGGCGGGGCCGGCAGGGCTGAGGATCGTCCTGGACTCTACCCAGTGGCCCAAGCGGCCCAGGCTCTGCGTGTCTTTGCTCTGTCGCTGCTGCAGCCGGCCACCACACCTGTTTGTGGAGGTCACAGTGAGCAGGAACTACCCTCCAAACTGGTCCTGCCTCCTTCTTCCTGGCACCTTCTTCCTTCTGGTGTCAGGGTGGCCAGGACTGCTCTTGGTGGCCCTCTGCCACCCTCCTCCCCACCCTCGAAATCTCAGGACAGGCAGGGCTGTGCCAGTGGAGAGGCTGTGGCGATGGCTCAGAGACACTCAGTGACCTTGGGGGAGCACAGCCCCCTGCTCATGGCCCCTGCCCAGGCAGTGCAGGCCGAGAGGCTTGGGGGATGCAGCGCCTGTCCAGGCCACTTGCTGGCTCTCACACGAGGTCAAGACTGGAGGCTGCCATCTCCGTCCTTGTCTTTGTCCCAGACTCCCCCCATCCCATCGTGGGCACCTCTTCCTGTCTCCACCCATCTCTGCCTTCTCGCTGAGATGGACTCCAGTCTCATTCCCACTGGATTTGCCGGTCCTGGCTCTGCACTGCCCCCGTGAAGCCACAAAAGGGCATCTGGGACCCGAAGTTTGAGCATGAAAACCATGTCTTTCTCCCAAGGCTCCTGGGCCTTCAACTAAAGGGCTGGGAGAAAGCAGCTGCTGTTGGCATCTTATTCGGATGCTCTTTGTTGTGTTCTCTGCGCTCACTGTGCAAGCTCCCAGGACAGCCTCAGGTCCCACATGCTCAGGTCAGTCCCTTCTCTGATTCCCAGACCTCCACCTGCTTCCGAGACAGCCCAGACCCACCCACCTGCTCCCCTTAGCACCTCCTGTTGCTTTGGAGTAGAGAGAGTATTCCAGGATTTGTCCAAATCACTTACAGCCTTTGAAGGAAAGAATAAAAGGAAACAGACAACATTGACAGACTACATGGTTTCACACTGACAATACCTTCTGCCACTTTTCTTTCTAAATCCCGGGAACGCCCTGGGGCGAATGGGCTGCGGGATTTAATGGTATTTAATGCCTGCTGTGTGCGGAGTACGGTACTAGGAGCTTTACCTGTGTGATTCCACTGGACCCTCCCTTCATCTCCTCCTTTATTCATCCACTTGACGGATGCTTATTGCCCTCCCTACTGTATGTCAGGCACTGTGCTAGACCCTGCAGTATAGTGAAGAATGCAACAGATTTGGCCCTGTTCTCCTGGAGCTCACAGCCTGGGGGGAGAAAGACATTAATCAGCCAACCCACATGTAAATGCAAGTGTGCTACTGTGAGAAGTGTTACAAGAAAGGAGAGATGTATGGTTCTCTGAGAGCTTAGTAATGGTGCTTGACTGAGATCAGAGGAGGCTTCCCTGAGGAAGTTACACTTGCACTGATATATGAGGGATGAGTATGAATTAAGTAGGTGAAGAGGAGAAAGCTTTCCAGGAAGAAGCAAGCGAATGTGCAAAGGGCCTGTGGCAGGAGGGGAATACTAAGTGAAGGATGGAGAGATGGCTGTTGGGGCTGGAGCTGAGAGAGAGGAAGCAGTAGAAAGCTCTGAAGGATGTGCAGTCAGGTCGGGGTTGGTGGTGACAGGCAGGAACTGGTCAGGATTGCAGTATGGAGGATGGGTTGGAAGGGAAGAGTGGATGCTGGTCCAGTTAGGAGACTGTTGTCACCATTCAGGCAGGAGACTATCAGAATCTAGACGTGTGTTGGTGAAAGGGGTAGATTATATAATATTTAGGAAGTAAAAACCTACTCAACTTGGTCCTGGGCTGGTTATGGGGACCACCACGAGGAAGGGAGTGTCAAGGTTAACCTAACGTCTGGCTGGCCCAAAGGAACAAGGGGCCACTAGAATGTCTAGCCTGTGAGCACAGCCTGTCTTTTCTGTTCACCATCCTCTCCCCAGTACCTGGCACTGGGGTGTGCAATAAATATTTGTTGAATTATATTGACAATTAACAAGGGAAACATGAAAAGAGGCCCAGATTTGGAGAGGAAGATCATGAATTCAGTTTTGTACATGTCAGGAAGAATTGTCAAGTAGACTTCAGAGCAAAGGTCTGAGCTAACGATATTAAAAGGTGTGAGTCATTTGTTACATGTAACTGAAGCTAGGACATGAATTACATCCATTCATTTTAAGTACCAAGTGAAAAAACCAAAATGTCTCCCTTCATGGAGTTTATAATCTAATGGAGGAAGACAATAAATAAGTAAATAAATAAACAAACAATTAAATAAATGAATAATTTTATCTATAGTACTTATAACCACCTGATACTTTCTTGATTAAAATACCTAAGGAGAGTTGGGTAATCTGATCTTCTAAGAATATATTTGATCTAGGAATATTAATTTGTTGACCATCTGTGTATGGGGAATAAGGATTGTGAGTTGGGGTAGGGTTGCTATATCAAGTACACTTGAAATCCTTACTAATTAGCTACCATTTGAGTAGAGAGTTGAAGCAAGGAAGGAGCAAGCCATGTGACTGTCAGGGAGAGATATTCTAGGCAGAGGAAGCAGCAAGTGCAAAGGTCCTGAGGTGGGAACATGCTTGACATGGTGGAAGAGTAGCAAGAGGCCAATTTGGCAAGAACAGAATCAGGAAGGGAGTGATGAGCAGGGGTTGAGATCAGGGAGCTGGGTCTGGGGGCAGATCACGCAGGACTTGTGGACCATGGTAAGAATTGGACTTTGACCGTGGCTGAGAAGAGACCCCTGGAAGGGCCTGAGCAGAGTAGTGACATGCTCCGGCTGACATCTTAAAAGTATCACTCTGGCCCTGGCCGGTTTGGCTCAGTGGTTAGAGTGTCGGCCTGCGGTCCAGAGAGACCCGGGTTCGGTTCCCGCTAAGGGCACGTACCTCGGTTGCAGTTTGTCCCCGGCCCTGGTTGGGTCGTGCGGGTGGCAGCCACTCGATGTGTCTCTTTCACATCGATGTTTCTCTCTCTCTCTCCCTCCCACTCTATCTGAACAAAAAAATGGAAAAAAAATGTCCTCAGGTGAGGATAAAATAAATAAAATAAAATAAAGTAAAAGCATCGCTCTGGCTGCTGGGCTGAGAATAGATGGGGGGGGGGGGAGAAGCAGAGAGGCCACTTAGGAGGCTGGGGCCAAGTTGCCGACGGGCAGAGACGGGGAGAAATGGTCAGATTCTTGCTCTGGTTTAAAGGTAGAGCTGACAGGGTGTGCTGAGGGGCTGTCGTGGGAAAGAAAGAAAGGGTTCAGGGGTGACGCCGAGACCTCTGAGGGCTAGGAGGGGAGGCCCGTTCTCCGAGATGAGGGCGGCTGAGAAAGGAGCAGGTTTTAGGGGAGAATGAGAGTTCAGCTCTGGACAGTTAGTGTCCAGCACTCAGCTGGAGACGCTGAGGTTGGCTGGAGACAGCGTGCAGAGTGGGAAGGAGCAGAGGCCCGGCTGCGCCTGTCAAGTAACAGAACAGGAGACGGAAGGAAGCCGAGAGGTGACAGAGCGAGCGAGAGGTTCTGCAGAATGCTGGCGCACAGCTGAAGTAAGCGAAGATTCAGGGAACACAAGAGTGAGCAATTTGCCCGGGCTGGTTTGGCTCAGCGGTTAGAACATCGGTCCTCGGACTGAAGAGTCGTAGGTTCGATTCCAGCCAAGGGCAAGTACCTCGGTTGCAGTTCGGTCCCCGGCCCTGCTGTGGGGTCATGTGGGAGGCAACCAATCGATGTGTCTCTTTCACACCGATGTTTCTCTCTCTCTCCCCCTCCCTCCCACTCTATCTGAACATAAATTGAAAATATCCTTGGGTGAGGATGAAAAATAATAATAATAAAATAAAAAAGAGTGCGAGATCTGACTGTAAACCAAGAACTAAAAATTGCTCATAGGCTAGAACAACTCGGGGTCGTTGGTAACCATAGCAACAGCTGTTCAGTGATGTGCTGAAACCAGACACCAGATGAAAGGCGGCGGTGGGAGATGAGGAAAGAGGGAGACCACAGGCATGGCAGCAGCAGTCTGGGTGCTGCGGGCGCCGTGCAGTGCCCGTGGTCCCCGTGCACAGTCTGGAAGCTGAGGTGCAGCCTGGACCTGCTCAGGTCGTGCGGAGAGCAAGTGATAGGCTGGGGTTCACATCAGGGCAAAGTGCCCTCGGATCCCTTGCTTTGTTTCCACTTCACGACAGATGCCACAGTTTCTGTGAACCCAGAAGGACGTGGAGACAGGAAAAGGGTCGCAGAGGTGGAGGGGAGCACTCTGGAACATAGGAAGCAGAGACAAGAACTGGAGAACTGGGACTAGCCGCCCGTCCAGATTCCAGAAAGAGCAGGTGGCTTCTCCTGGAGCCCAGGAGTGTCTGGCTGGCTTCCCAAGGGGCCCTGTGAGCACATTTCCGGCAGCTTCCACCTGCAGTGCCAACACAGCGTTGCAAATGCTGTGCTTGGAAAAATGTCATTGCTCCCTAATCCTCATCCCACTATCCCCAAACAATCTGTAACAGTTTGCATCTTCATGCTCTGTGGACACCTTCCATGAAATGAGCTGGAGGGTTTGCAGATGCTTGTTTCCAAGCCTTCCCGTAAGCCTCGACCCTGTTAGATTCAACAGAGACGTTTGTGCTGTGCGTGGCAGCGCCGGTGGGTTGTGCCTGCGTGGCTACGTCTCGTTTATCCGTGACGGAGAACCGTGCAGCGGTACAGCTCTTGCTCCAGGAGAAAAGCAAGCTTGGGACGTGCTCAGGCTGCAGGGACCAGCCCACATTAGGAGATGGGAAGAGAGAAAGAAGAGGAAGGAGTGAAAAGGAGGAAGGGAGACAGAGACCTTGGAAATGTATTGTAAAATAATATACTAAAATATCAACAGAGACCACATTTGGAAGGTTAGAATACTGACAATTTCCCCCCCTTTATAACTCTCCATAGATTTTCTACGAGGTATACGTATTACTTTTATAGTCAAAATGGCAATAAGTCATATTTTGAAACGGAAGCAGGAGGCATCATGTCGGTCCCCCAGGGGCTTGCCGGCGACGGGGGAGCTAGACAGGCGGCCGGGATAAACAGCGGGCTCTCTGTGGCCACTTCTGTTGGATGCACTGGCTCCTGAGCTCGCAGACTCCTTTACTCCGCCGGCCTCTAGATCCTACTCCGTGCACCCTGCGGACATCCTTCCCTGTCTCTCTTCCCTCCTCTCCGACCGCTCGAGCTCCCTGGGCTTCCCTGGGCCTGCGCAGCCTGGCGTCAAGCCTGGCCCGCGTGTTCTGCTGGCTGCTCTAGGAGCCAACGGTCCCTCCTTCCATCTGTGCCTCCCTCCCCTCCACAGCTCGGCTGTCAACTGCCTCATCGAAGAAGCCACCACAATGGAGAAGATCAGGTTCCAGCACATCGTGTCCATCTACGGGGTGTGCGAGCAGCCCGTGGGCATCGTGATGGAGTTCATGGCCAACGGCTCCCTGGAGAGGATGCTGCCCACCCACAGCCTCTGCTGGCAGCTCAAATTCCGCATCATCCATGAGACCAGCCTGGCCATGAACTTCCTCCACAGCATTGAACCACCCCTGCTCCACCTGGACCTCAAGCCAGGCAATATCCTCCTGGACAGCAACATGCACGTCAAGGTAAGGGCCCTGCTCAGCCTCTGCCCTTGACTTCGGAGTCTCCTCCAGGTGGCGGGACCGTCTGCCTCTCTGACGGCTGCCACGAGTTTTAAGCAGCTTCCTGAACACTGCAGGAGCAATCACACCTAAAACAGGTGGGCGGCAGGGAATTGGTACGTGGCCGGGGTATCAGGACGCCTGCAATACCCTCCCTGGGCCTCGTCTTCCATTTCCAATGTGGGTAGAAGAATCTCCATCCTTCCCATGCTTGGCTTCAGGTGGGAACGTGTGTAAAGGAACTGACCCTATAAAGGTCATGATGGGCATTTTTTTCAGTTCCTAAAACATGCCACACTTTTCTTCTGCCCCAGGACCTTTGCATGTTCTGTTGCGGCTGCCAGGGACAGTGCTCCTCCACGCCCCTCTTTATCTAGCAAAGGACCACTCATCTTTCAGTTCCCAGCTTCAACATCACCTCCTCAGGCAGGTCCTGATCCACCCCGCAGGCCTCTGTAGAATACGCTCGTTGTGCCTCTCTCTGTCCATATTGCTAACCCAGCTGTAAGCATATAATCCCACGAGCAGCGACTCCATTAGTGCCTATACCCCTTAGCTGGATAGCCACTTAGGACAATGATGGGTGTGAGGGTTCTCGTCTTCCCTGCCTCTGCCTCGTCCTCAGTGTCCAGCTGAGGTGGCAGTCCGTGAAGGGCCCCTTGGCACAGGAATGAATCAGGGGTGGAGGCAAATGCCTCAGGGTCTGCGGAGGTGAGGTGAACAGCAGCTCACCATGGACAGCAGCCGCATCCGAGCCCGTCTGCTTGAAGACGGCACCTGCCAAGCACTTGCTGTGGGCCAGGCGTAGCTCTGAGTGCTTTCTCGTGAATGCTCCCCACGGCTCTGAGCTAGGTGCTCACATTGTTCCAGTTTCATAGATGAGGCAGCTGAGGCCCTGCAGAGAGGAGTAGCCAAGATCACCCAGGTCACGGGGGTGCGCAGAATCAATTTCCAGTCGAAAGTCTGGTGCGTGGCGTGGTGGAACCGGGGAGGGCCGTGCTCTCGGCCACGACACCCGTAAGGACCGAGAGGCCAAGGCAGTTTCCGGAGGCGAGACTCTGTGGGCCCCTGTGCCCACGTCTGGCCTCCTCCCAGATTTCGGACTTCGGCTTGTCCAAGTGGATGGAACAGTCAACCCGGATGCAGTACATCGAGAGGTCGGCTCTGCGGGGCACCCTCAGCTACATGCCCCCTGAGATGTTCCTGGAGAGTAACAAGGCCCCAGGGCCCAAATATGACGTGTACAGGTGAGAAGGGGGCGGGGCTCCATCTCCAGACCCAGGACGTAGCTTGTTGTCACAGCCCTGCCTGGAGCCTGTGGCCCAAAGGGCAGGGCAGGGCAGGGGTGAGGTCTGGCCCCTCCATGCCCAGGTGGGAGGGGGTGTCTGGAGAGGAACTCTGGCTGCAGAGGGTTTGCCTGGGATTGTGTGGCCCGACGGGTGACGCGGGTCTCCCAGGCCACTCAGGGAGCCTTCTCCTCCTCCATCTGCAGCTTTGGGATTGTCGTCTGGGAGGTCCTCACACAGAAGAAACCCTACTCAGGTAGCAGCCGGTGGTACCTCGGATGGGGTCCTGGGAAAAGCTGTGGGAGGGCTGAGGGTCCGTGGGGACAGGTCTGTGTTGGGGGAGCAACCTCACCGGGGGCTCCCATCCGCACCCTCCTTGCTTCTTCTGGAAAGTAGGGTTTCCAGAGCTCACCTAGCAGTAAAAAGGGGCGACCGTCAGCCAGGCCAGGCTTCCTGGCCCCGGTCCCTCTGCTTTCAGGGTGCTCCCCTGCACCTCCCAGGCCCAGAACGTCAGGGATAACCCGGGACTTGAAAGTCAAGCTGATAACCAGGCCTGTTGGTCAGCCTGTTACGTTTGGACAGCAAAGGTCTACGGGATGGGGTCATGTCTGGTCTTGGCTTGGGTGGGGCGGGAGCGGACTAGACACTTAAAACCTAAGGCAGGCTTGCAGTCTGGCTGTCTGCTCCCCATGCGTTCATGGAGCCTGTGGGTGCGCCACCTGCCCAGCCCCCGCCCCTCCCCCCACTGCCTCCCGGCATGCGCACAGCCTGGTCTCCCCTCAAAGGCCTCCACATGATGAGCATCATCATCCGAGTGGCTGTGGGCATGAGGCCTTGCCTGCGGTCTGTCTCCGACGAGTGGCCGGGGGAGGCCCAGCAGCTGGCAGAGCTGATGAGGCGCTGTTGGGACCAGGACCCTGCGAAGAGGCCCTGCTTTCCAGGTGCCCGCCTGCCTGACCTGCCCAGACCGGGAGTGGGAGGGGCGGGTGGGCCCAGAGAGAAGGTGGAACCTGGGCCACCCTGAGGGCTCTGCAGAGAGCAGCGTGCTGGCCCTGGGCAGCGTCTGGGCGCAGTGCTGGGAGGGGGCAGCAGGGGCAGGGCAGTTGCGGGCTGTGGCCGCTGGCCTGTGGGAGCTCCGTGTGCCCGTGGGAGGCGAGTAGAAGCCCCTGTTGCCGAAGGAGCTGGGCCTGGCCCTGCTTCTGCCGTGACTACGGTGTCCTCACGTGTAAACGCTCCCCGACCACCAGAGCCCATGAAAACACGCACCCACGTGAGCCGTGAGCGCCTCAGACGCCACCCCGTCCCTCCCCTCACTTCCTAGAGAGGACAGACCCTCAGAGGGTCAGCGACCTGCCGAACGCGCCCCGCTGCGCCCAGCCCGGGACCCACCTTTTTCGCCCCTGTGCACAGGGGCACGTGCTTGAGCCCGGGACTAGGTTTGGGCGGGAGCACAGGAGGTGTAGGGCAGCCGAAACGGGAAGGACTGCTGATCAGCCTGTGGCTTCTTCTCCTCCCTCCTCCCTGGAGCAGACATTGCAGTCGAGACGGACATGCTGCTGTGCCTGCTCCAGAGCCCTGTGATGGAGCCCGAGAGTGAGGCCCTGGCCAGGAAGGTGTCCTGCAAGCCCTCCCTCCGCCGGCCCCAGGTGCGTGTGGGGCTGGGCCTGGCCGGGCAGGTGCTGAGGAGGCACGCACAGGGCCGCCTGGCTGGGGGACACCTTTTCCTACGTCACACGAAGGTTCTCTAAGGGCTAGTGGTGGTCGTAGCTCAGTCCCCAAGAAAGACGTGCCTTCACGCAAATGTGTGGGATGGAACAGCCGGTCCTGCAGAGGGAGACCTCAGCTCCCCAGGTTTCCCACTGTGGCATCAGTACCGTCACTGTTCTGGCCATTCCTGAACGTGTGAACCAGCCACGGTTAGTGTGGGCTCCTGGCTGAACCCACGCAACCACCTGCTTTCCACGTGCCCAAAGGGAAGTCAAGGCCTGGGCCACCTGGGTTTTCCTCTAGACACAGCTGGTGGTAGGAATGGCGGAGGAGGGGTCTCCTAGGACAGGTGGGGTGTGGATTCTAACTGTGATGCGGAGCACCGGAGAGAGGCAGGACTGCAAGACGCAGAACCGCCCGCTGATCAGCCCTGTCTCTGGTTCTCCCTCCCCAGGTCAGACAGGAGGTCAGCCAGGAGCTGACAGACAGCGGTGAGTCCAGGTGCCACAGCGGGAACCAGAGGGTTCATGGAGGAGGAGAAAGTGGAATCAAACCACACCCCTACCCCAGCCTCCCTGGCCCCTCCCACCTCGCCGGGAATTAAAGAATGAAAAAATATCCCAATGCCTGAGCCACCCTAGACTAATGAAACCAGAATCTCTAGGGTGGTTGGCCTGGCAGTAATTTTTAAAAATAAATTGTTGCTTTTAATTCTAATACACCCGTGGGCAGAGCAGGAGGAAGGGGTCCTAATGGCCTCAGGGGTTCAGATCACAGGGCTCCACACTGATTTTCCACCTGCATTCAGGTGTGCCGAGCACTCCTCTGGAAGTTCTTTCCTACCCAATGTGTCCTCGCTGGGGTATGAGGTGGGCTGGTTTGTGTCCCTTTAAGGATCAGGACCCGGAGCCTCCCAGTTGAGAGCTGGCTCAGGGCAGGTGAGGCTGAGGGGTGGGGTCGGGATTTGCACTCAGGCCTCTGCCTCGTTCTCGCGGGAACTGCCCGAGTCGGTTTTCTAGGGCAGAGGACCCTGCACAGACCTGGGGTATTGGGGAAGACACCTCTGTGGTCTCTGCTCTGGGCTGGTGCAGGAGGCAGGCGGATGGCCGGAGGACCTCTGGCAGGTCCGAGGCCCCTTTCCACCCCACTCTCTCCCGGCAGACGCAGGAGACTACTTGAAGCGGGTCCTGCAGCTCTCGGACAGCGAGAGCCTGGTCCCCAGCGATGAGGAGCTGCGCGTCTATGAGAACAAGGTCACCCCCCTCCACTTCCTGGTGGCGCAGGGCAGCGTGGAGCAGGTGCGGCTGCTGCTGGCCCACGAGGTCGACGTGGACTGCCAGACGGCCTGCGGCTACACACCCCTGCTCATCGCCGCCCAGGACCAGCAGCCGGACCTGTGCGCCCTGCTCCTGGAGCACGGAGCCGATGCCAACCTGGCGGACGAGGACGGCTGGACCCCGCTGCACTTCGCGGCCCAGAATGGGGACGACCGGACTGCGCGCCTGCTCCTGGACCACGGGGCCTGCGTGGATGCCCAGGAGCACGAGGGGTGGGCCCCCTTCCACCTGGCTGCTCAGAACAACTTTGAGAATGTGGCTCGGCTTCTGGTCTCCCGTCAAGCTAACCCCAACCTGCGTGAAGCCGAGGGCAAGACCCCTCTCCACGTGGCCGCCTACTTCGGCCACGTCAGCCTGGTCAAGCTGCTGACGGGCCAGGGGGCCGAGCTAGATGCTCAGCAGAGAAGCCTGAGGACACCGCTGCACCTGGCCGTGGAGCGAGGCCAGGTGAGGGCCGTCCAGCACCTGCTGAAGAGCGGGGCGGCCCCTGACCTCCTGGACCAGAACGGCTACAGCCCGCTGCACACCGCGGCCGCCAGGGGCAGGTACCTGATCTGCAAGATGCTGCTCAGGTATGGGGCCAGCCTCGAGCTGGTGACCCAGCAGGGCTGGACACCCCTGCATCTAGCAGCCTACAAGGGCCACCTGGAGATCATCCGTCTGCTGGCTGAGAGCCATGCTGACTTGGGGGCTCCCGGTGGCATGAGCTGGACCCCCCTGCACCTGGCTGCCCGCCACGCGGAGGAGGAGGTAGTGGCAGCACTGCTCCAGTGCAGGGCGGACCCCAATGCTGCAGAGCAGTCCGGCTGGACACCCCTCCACCTGGCGGTCCAGAGGGGCACCTTCCTGAGTGTCATCCACCTCCTGGAGCACCACGCAGATGTCCATGCCCGCAACAAGGTGGGCTGGACGCCTGCCCACCTGGCCGCCATGAAGGGCAACATGGCCATCCTCAAGGTGCTGGTCCGAGCCGGTGCCCGGCTGGACGTCGAGGATGGGGAGGGCTGCACACCCCTGAAGCTGGCCCTCCGGAGCCAAAAGCAGAGCATCGTCGCCTTCCTAGAGGGCAAGGAGACCTCACTGGCCATCGTGGGCGGTGCTGAGCCTGGAGAGCAGACGGAAGTGTAGACGGCCTGTGGTCTCCTTACCGTAAGGGCGAGGGTTGGTGGAAATGCAGCTGGGCTTTGGCAGGGCCCCTTTTTTGTACTTGCCACCTGCCCCTTTGACCTTGAGGAAACAGGAACCTGGTCCTCTGGGTGATGGAGGGACAGACAGAGGTGCTCGCTCTGGCTTGGAGAGGTCCTTCCAACACCTCCTCCCAGTGGGTGTCCTGCACACCCTGGTCTCCTCCTCCTGTACCTGGACTTTGGCCCCCAAAGTGAATTTCCTTCTCATCCCCAAGACTCCTGCCACTTTCGCCAGTTTCCCCTGGGCTCACGGGGCCCTTTGCACCCCAGGAGCCCTCTCCGAGGACAAACAGGCAGAGGAGACAGAAGTGCTTCCTCTTGGCTCAGATCTGTGTGACTTGACCCCTTTCCTGGATGGAGCCGGGAGAGCCAGGGCAGGCGCTGAAAGTTCAGAGGACATTCTGCTCATCATTCAAAGCCCAGCCCACCCCCTTGCTGCCTGACCACACCTTCCTGGCGGCCCTGGGTCTCCCACATTGGTCTCTCGGAGGGGAAGGAAGGTGGTTCTCTAACTGCCCACGAGTGACCCCGTGTCGCTCAGTCCCTGGTCTCCCTGACCCACCCTCTGCTGTGTCCAGTTACATGGCTAAGTTTCAAACCCTGAAGTCAATAAAGCTGTGGGTTTGAGTCTCCCCTTTAGAGATGGACTGGCCTGTGAAGCTAGGTTGTTTATAGGGGCCAGTAGTGTTAGTGTGTGCGCATGTGTGCGTGTATATGTGTGTGTTAGGTAAGACGCGTGTATATGTTCACACCGGGAGGCGGCAGGGCAGGTGCAGGCAGGAGGGGTGTGGACGGGGAGGAAGAAGTTGTCGGGGTTCTGGGTGGAGCAACCAGGGCAGGGCCTTTCCTGTCCAGCAGCTGCTCAGAGCTGCTGTGACCACAGCCTGGCCACTCAGCGGCTGGTCTGTCCTGTCCTACTGGTCACGGGGCAGGTCAGGGCAGGGCTGGGCTGCTCACACGAACCTTGCGTGCCCAGCTCTGCCGGCCAGGTGGCATCTGCTTCCTCTGTGGCTCCGCCAGGGTTGACAACCTTGGGAAGGGGTGGAGTGGGGCTGTGGGAGGGGCCGGACAGGTAACCCAGGGTCCCCTCTTTTCCTCTCTGCCTTTCCGCCCTGCCGGAGCCGCCCCTCCAACTCCAGGATGTGTTGTGATTGTCAGAGAAAAGGAACCTTCTGCCTCAACTAATGGCCAGCTCCACCCCAGCCAGCTCCGGGGCTGGGCCACTAGTCAGCAGCCTGAGGTCAGTGGGCATGAAGGAGGCAAAGCAGAGGAGCCCTGCTGCCCACGGGCACGGGACCCGTCGTGCGTCACTCGTGCCAAGTTCATGCATCAGTTTGAGCAGACCCGGCTGCATCGTGTCTCCCATCCTGTGGTCTCTGGATTGTGGCACCAGCCTCATGGGCCCTGGACACTTCACCCCGCCAGGCAGCCGCCTGTGGCCACCACAGAGACCTTGGGGGCAGCACTGAGCTGGGGGGTGCCCTAGGACAGCGATTATAAGTCAAGCTTGCACATTAGAATGTCCTGAGTGAGTAGGGGTGGTGAATGAAGGGGCGTATTCACTACCTGGTGCTACCCTTGTCCAATTTAAAGCAAAATCTCCAGGATAGCATCCAAGTGTTAGCTGGAGAGCAGCCAGGGCTGAAAATATCCACCAGGGGGCGCCCTGGGGTTTCTCTCTGGGACATTCCTTAGTGTGTCCAGGAAGAGTCACTGGCTCCAGCCCAGGGTGGTGGCCTTTTCCCTCCCTGGTTGGACCAGTGGGGAGTCCTGAGGACGGGGGCTCAAGGGCACTCAGCAGAAGCAGGCTGTCCCACCCTCCTACTCCTTGCTGGCCGCCTGGCCCATTCTCCTCGTTCTCCCTGAGACCAAGCCTTAGGCAAGACGTAGTTGAACGCGTCCTGGGAGTTCTGTCCTGCCCGGAACATGCTGGAGTGGAGGAGGGCAGGGGAGGGGCACAGGGCTGTTTGCTTCTTGCACCCTGAGGTCTGGGTCTGGCTCCAGGTCCAGGTCTCGGGTTGGGAATGAACCGGAGAAGGGAGGTGGGCTGCCAGGCGAGCCCAGCTCCGTCCATGGGAATGGCCAGGAGTGAACGGCAGAGAACAGTGGTGTCTGTCTCATCCTATTGGAAAGAGTTGGAGGAAAGACCTTGAGTAAAGGGGTAGAAAGGTTAGATGATCCTTTTGCACCTGATGTCCTGTGAATGACAGGGATCCGTGGACGTTCGGACAAGACTAGCTCTAGGAATCAGTGCAGCTCCGAGGGTCCCAGGGTGCAGGTTGGGACCCTAAGACCCCTGCTTCCTCCACTTCCTCCTCCAAGAGATAAGTGGGGTAGGGGTTTCCGGCCGGCTCTGGGCACCACGGCCCTTCGCCTCCTTCTTGTCCCCGTCACCTCACCCCTTTCCAGGCACAGACCCACACAGACACAGGGCATGTGCGTGCGCCCCATCGCAACAGCTGCCCTCTGGTGGTTTCCTAGGGACGTTCAGAATTGGGTGCTAGCGAGGCCCTTGCAATTCCCAAGGAGAGGGTGTCTAGTTGAACTATGAACCCTGTTCAGGGGAAACTGGGGCCGTGTCCTCCTGCGCGTGTCCACTGGAGGTCCTGTGGACCCCTGAGCTCAGAGACCCACGCTGAGCACCCCCTTGCCCTCCACAGCCTGCCCTCCCTCCTCCTGCTGGTGAAGCACCCGAACCCTAGCCTAGGAGTTATTCTCGACCAGCCAGGCCACCCGCACTTCCTGGGAAGGTGGAAACCTCTCTCTGCGACTGTTCGAGAGGACAGCCACCAGGTCCACGTGCTGGGGCAACAGAAGAAACACAGCTTTAATTCCAGCAAGTCAGATTCAACAGCCACAGTGCAGTCTATGCTCTCCAAGATCCAAGGTGCAAGTCCCTGCCCACGGAGAAGAGCCCTCCCCGCCTGCGATGGCCCTGAATCAACAGCCCTGGGCGAGGCGCCCCGCGCTCCTTCCTGCTCAGGGCGCCGGCCACGCACTTGTCTCCTGCACCCCGCCCTCTGGGGTGCGCGCCAGGCCCACCGAGTCGGATCCGGCTGCAGGGTATTGCTGTGAAGCCAGGGCAGAGGGTGGCTGCTGGGCTGGGCTGAGGCCAGCAGGGGAGCTCGGGGACTGGGAAGTGGGACGATATGGGCTCTGGAGACTGTCCCCCTGGATGCCAACCCTGTGCACCCCCACAGGTGTGTGGTCTGAGGTCACGGACACTGCCTAGCCTCGCGCACAATTCTCAGCCACGGTGCTCGTGTCCCTGGCTGGCGGCAGAGGCCGAGTCAGGAGCCTTGTGGGTCAGAAGGGAAGGCGGTTAGTAAGCGCTCAGCATATTCCTTTCTTGCAGCTCCTCCCAAGTCACAGGACGGCTTCCCTTGGAAGGGGCGGCCACATGCCGGCCCTCAGCCCTCGGAGCCCTTGGCAGGGCGCCAGAGAAGACACTGCCCCTTTCCTTTGCTGGCCCCTCAGGGAGGAGGGGGCAGTCTCCTGCTGTGCCTGGGAGAATGTGACCCTGACACCTCTTGGGAGACACCTAACGTAGTGTCAGGTCAGCTGCAGGGCTGGGGAGCCCCATTGGGGGCCGTGAGCTCTGACACCCAGCTTTGACGACCAGCCACAGATGGCATTACCCTGAGCCTCTTCCGAGAGCCAGACAGTGGAGCTGGTGTTAGAAGGGCGAGGGGCCCACGTCCCCATGCACCGGGCAGCGGCGGTCCAGGGCTGAGGCTGGAGCCCACTCTGCCTTCAGCTGGGCACAGGCGGTGTGAGGGCTCGGCCTGCACAGAGGGTAGGAGGGTGAACACGAGGTGGGCAAGGGTAGGCTTACAGCGGTTTGTACGAGAAATAATACCGCAGTGGACACAGAGTAACACAGGAATGAGCTGATTCGCACACTCACAACTGTAGACCTGCCTTTGCCAGCCCTGTGGGAGGGTGGACGGCGCACAGCGGGGGGGTGGGGGCGGCGTGTTTGGACCTGGGCCTGGGCAGGAAAACCGGAAGGTGTGCGTGCCTGAGCTGTTCCCTGCAAAGCCAGCCCCTCCCTGTGCCCCGTGGCGCAGCCGCCCTCCCCTGACCTGACCGCGTCCTTCACTTCACAGGCGGCACCTGCCCCAGGGAGGCTGCCTCCCTCGCTCCAGCCTCACGCCTTCAGGTCTCGGGACAGAAGCCGGGTGAGGCTGGGAGAAAGCCCCAAGCAAGTCCCAGGTCCTCGCGCCCACTGAGAGGAGCTGCAGCTCTGCTGAGGGAGGAAGCCTCGCCCCGCAGGGAGGAAGCCTCCCGAGCCCCAGGGAGCGCTCTGCCCAGCAGCTCCCGCCCAGCCAAGTAGCCAAGCCCGGATGGGAGAGGCTGTGGGAAGGTGTTTTGACCACACACCCCCTTTTCCCTGACCCTCCAGAACCCTAAAAAGCCAGGGTGGGTCTCCCCTTCCAAGGATGCTCGGTTCTCTCCTCACCAGCTTCTTGCTCCCTGAACCCTCAAACCAGAGCCGGGCACCTGGTTGGCAGAAGACCTTCAGGCACAGGATGCCCAGACTCTGGCCTCCTGCTGCTGAGGCCTCGCTAGAAGCTGAGCCCCCTGCCGTGCCCCACCCCCACTAACCCACACACACATGCTCATTTGCTGGCAGCCAGGCTGTTCACAGTCACCCCAAGGTGGCACCCTAAGAGTCTAGTCGGAATGGTTTTTCTTTCTCTATTTCCCTTTTTAAAAGCCTTCTGACCACAGCAGCCTCCTCCAACTTAGCTCAGGGCTGGTCAGGAAATGTGTGGACTGGACAATGTAAGACAGTCAGCAAACCTTCGTTCAAAGGCCGGCCCTGCCGCCAGGTCACCCACCTCCCTGAGAGGCTTCTCCTCGGGCACAGGGGGATCGGCCCGGCCCCCAGGGTCATACAGGAGGTCACATGGGTGAGGCCCACCATGACCCTGCCTAGATGGGAGCTAATGGCACGGACACCGCCTAGGTCCTGGGGCTGGAAGGGCAGAGGGGCGGCGGGCCACAGGGCTGGGCCATGTGCGACTCTGGGACAGATGGTGAGGGAAGGGATCCTAGACTGGCGGGCACACTGCAAATGCCCCAAGGCAGGCCAGTCCCCCACGTCCCTGGTTGTTGGCCACTGGCTGCCCGTCCCGAGACAAACGGGGGAGCAGGGTCATTCCCTGGTCCGCCATTCAGGAAGTCCTCCGGGCAGGGTCCCTGCCCTCACCAATGTCCTACCTACTTGTTCCCAGCCAGGGCCCACCGGGCTGCTGCATCCATGTCATCGTCATCATCTGTGATCGGTGCCCTGGCCCTGGGCAGCCCACACCCGTGGCGGGGTTTCCACACCCAGCCTGTGCTCTGCCGTGGGGTGTGCAGCTTTGAGTTACCGCGTGACTCACGCCCGCTGTCCACTGCAATGGGGCTTCGGGGCGAAGGGGATCGTGTCCACTGTCTTCACCACTTTGTTCTTAGCACCTCGCTCAGGGCCTGGAGCACAGAGGCCTCGGTGAATGCAAACATCTGGGTGGATGGACGGATGAAGGGATCTGGTTTTTCTGCACTGCTGGCCTCTCGATTCCCAGGACTTCTCCCCAGGCCCCGGCCGCCTGCACTCCGGCAAGACCCCCGGCGGAGCAGTAAGGGCCCAAGGCGTTGAAGACTGGCGGATGCACGCAGACTTCTAGGGACAATGCGAAGTGCCCAACGGGGCCTGACCAGCAAGACACTCCTTAGGGGTGCTTCCTTGCTGTGCTCTTGAGGACTGGGGGAGACTCCACCTGCTAAAAACAGGTGAACGACCCCTTGATGAAAAGGCACTCCATGCAAAGACAGGCTCAGAGAACAGGCGGTCAGAGGGCTGCCGCCTGCCCACCCTCCTTCTCCCTCTCTACCCTCGCTGTCAAGGCAAAGGGGCCATGGTCAGGGTCTCCTGAGGAAGAGCCAGGACCCGGCCGCCCCCTTCCACATTGGCATTCCTGGGCCCCATACCCCTCCTTTGCCCCTGAAGTGCTGAGGGGGGAGAGGGGGGAGCCCGGCCCTCCCCCTGCCCACTCTCGCTGTCAATCTGCTGTCTGGCAGAGACTTGAAACTCCCTGACAGTGCAGGCATCCTCCCATCCCGCCCCCGCCCATGCCTGCCCTATTCCCCTCTCCCCTGCCCCCTGCTCTGAAGCTGCCTGCCTTCCCTTGCTCCTTCCCTGTTCCGTTCCTTCCTTCTTCTCTCCCTCCCTGCCCCTCCCTCCTTTCCTTCCTTCCTTCCTTTGTTTTTCTCTCTCCCTCCCTCTGCCATGTCTTCCAATAACCACATCTGATAAACATGTGTAATCTCATAAGATTTCTAATGGTGAGACAAGCCAGACCTTTTATAGACTAGTGTGCAGTGTGTGCATGTGTGTGCACAAGTGTGTGTGCATGTGTGTACGTGTGTGTGCAAGTGTGTGTGCATGTGTGTATGTGTGTGTGTGTGTATGCGTGCATGGTTGGCTATGGTCCATGGTGTGGGTATCAGCGGCTCAGAGGTCCTTGGGGTTTCTAGCCCCCTTGGGGGTCTGGTGCCCCCCAGAAGGTGGGCACTGGGTTATTGACCCCCAGCTGGATGAGGACCTGTCTGGCCACCTTCTGGAACCCAAGTGCTCCTGGCTCAGGAGCCTCTCCAGAGCTCAGGGCTACATTCAGGTCCAGAAGATCAAGCCCATAATGTAGCGTTCAGGGCACGTTAAGTGCTCCTAACTTTGGGGCTAAAGACACCGTCTTTAGCCTGCAGATTATGCTGCCGGCTCCAGCCTGGCCTGCCGCCTGGGTTGGCAGCACTGCTGTCGCTCGAGGTGCTGCGAACAGTCCTCCTCCGCGGGCTGATCTGTTTCACTTAAAACCACAGTTCTGTTGTGGGGTCAGTGCCAAGCCGCGCCGGGAGGCCTGGAGCTGTGACTGGCCCGGAGGCTGAGAGGAGGGGGACCAGGCCACATCCCTCAGGGCCTCCCCCACCTGTCCAAAGGGGTCCGGCGAGAGCCAGCAGCCGGGCAGGGGCAGGCCCAGGAGCACAGCCCGCGCAGCTGTGCGGGGCGAGGGCTCAGGGGGCCTCAGAGGTGCTGGGACCTGCAGCGGAGGGGCTGGGACGGACCGCCTGCTTCCCTGGGGCAGCCCGTTACTCTGGTGATAAGGGAGCGGGGTGTGCTGGGGACGCCCCTGGAAACGCTCCCCTTCCGTCTGGGTTGGAGGGGAGGGTGGGCGACCCACAGCAGGGCCGGAGCACGCACAGCAGTTCCAGGGCCGCAGGGGGGAGGCGGGGAGAGACGCACCTCTTGTCCTCCAGGTTCCTTTCCCCTCCCCCAACGCCCCGCCCGCGCCATGGCCGCGGCCTCCGGTCCTGGCGGGTCTGCAGCGTCCTCCCGGCTGTCCCAGCGCGGACACGGCTGCGCTACGCCTCGGGTGGGTGTGGGTGGCGCTGCCCTTCCCCACGAGGGGCTGCCCACGTGACTCTCGCAGTTTTATTAGTTTGGCGCACGTGTGGAGATGGTACAGAGTCTGGGACCTGGGGGCTCCAAGCGGAGCAGGGCCAGGCTAGGCCAAGTGGTAGCCTCGGGCTCCCTAAGGCCGAGCAGGGGAAGGGAAGGGAGACGGGAAAGGGGCAAAGGAAGATAAAAGGAAAGGGAGTGGTGCAGTATGGCAGGAGGCAGCCCCCCGAAGCACTCAGACACCCCACCCAGGCCCGGACACAGTCACAGGCACCTTCACCGCTTGCCCCAGGCTGGCCTGACATTCGCTGCAGGAAGTCCTGTGAGTCCATCGGTGGCGCTTCGGGTGGGCCCCTCCCCCACAGACCCCCGGGGCCTCCCCTCAGGGCTGTGGAGCGGGCAGGACCCCCTGCTGTGGGAAGTAGAGGGTCCTCTGGCGCAGGAGAGGAGAGAAGATTTTTGGCTTGGGCTTGCCTGGCCTTCATTCTGTGGTCTGGTATGTACATGGATCTCCCCAGGCTGCAGTTACGGGGCCTTGGCAGGAGCTCTGGATTTCCTGGTGTGGACCTGTGGGCTCAGAACTGTCCCTGCCTCTCCCCGGCCCAGTCCAGCCCAGACCTGGGGGCCCAGCCTGAGCCCAGCAGAGGGCGCAGCCTCCCAGCGCTGACTCCGGCCCAGCAACACCAGAGCTCAGAGAAAGGTCCCGGAGGCGGCTGTGTCTTTGGTGCCAAGGAGAAGGGGTCTGGAAGTGGGAGGGGAGCTCTGTGAGCGGCCCCGAGCCACAGGGTCCAGCCCAAGGGCTGGCACCCAGCCTGGCTCTGTACACCACCCGGCAGAGCCAGGGTGTTGCAGCGCGGGGCACGGTGCCAAGCTAACACTGCAGGGCCCGCCGGGCAAAGGGGCGCCCCCACCCCGGCCTGGGCGGCAAGGCAGCGGGTCAGCAGCGGAGGATCTTCAGGAAGGCCTTGCGGAACTCGATGTTGAAGGTCGTGTAGATGATGGGGTTCACGGCGCTGTTGACGTAGCCCAGCCACGTGAAGGCGCTGTACAGGACGGGCGGGATGGCACAGTCACAGTGAATGTTCAGGATGTGTGTGATGAAGAAGGGCAGCCAGCAGATGATGAACACGCCTGGGGGAGAGGCACGGTCAGGCTGGCCCGGGCGGGGAGACCTGCACGGTGGCTGCCGGCCGCAGCCCAGGACTGTCTCCCAGACTGATGTCCACTCCACCCGGCCTGCAGGTCAGGACTGCCTGCTGAGGTGGGACGCCTGGCCTCGGGGCCTCGGGTGCTCAGCATGCTCCACCCACGCGGGGAGCCCTGGGACGGAGGGGCCTGGGACAGAGGGGCCTGGGACAGAGGGGCCTGGGACAGAGGGGCCTGGACAGAGGGGCCTGGGACAGAGGGGCCTGGGACACAGGGGCCTGGACAGAGGGGCCTGGGACAGAGGGCCTGGACAGAGGGCCCGGGACAGAGGGGCCTGGGACAGAGGGGCCTGGGACAGAGGGGCCTGGGACAGAGGGGCCTGGGACAGAGGGGCCTGGACAGAGGGGCCTGGGACACAGGGGCCTGGGACACAGGGGCCTGGGACACAGGGGCCTGGGACAGAGGGGCCTGGGACAGAGGGGCCTGGGACACAGGGGCCTGGGACACAGGAGGCCTGGGACGGAGGGGCCTGGGACGGAGGGGCCTGGGACAGAGGGGCCTGGGACAGAGGGGCTGGAACACAGGGGCTGGACACAGGGGCCTGGACACAGGGTCTGGGACAAGGGGCCTGGACGACGGTGGCTGGAAGGAGGGGCCTGGGACAGAGGGCCTGGCCACATGGGCCTGGGACGGAGGGGCCTGGTACACGGGGCCTGACGGAGGGGCCTGGACGTAGGGCCTGGACACAGGTGCCTGGACACAGGGGCCTGTGAACCAGGGGCCTGGACAGAGGGCCTGGGACGAGGGGCCTGGGACGGAGGGGCCCTGGACACAGGGGCCTGGGCGGAGGGCCTGGGACGGAGGGGCCTGGGACGGAGGGGCCGGGACGGAGGGGCCTGGGACGGAGGGGCTGGACGGAGGGGCTGGGACGGAGGGGCCTGGACACAGGGGCCTGGAACGGAGGGGAACGGACGGAGGGGCCTGGCGACGGAGGAGGACTCGGGCCGACGGAGGGGCCTGGGACGGAGGGGCCGGGACGGAGGGGCCCTGCGGAGGGGCCTGGACACAGGGCCCGTGACGAAGAGGGCCTGGGACGGAGGGGCCTGGGACGGAGGGGCCTGGACGGAGGGGCCTGGGACGGAAGGGCTGGAAGGAGGGGCCTGGACGGAGGGCCAGGAACGGAGGGGCTGGGATGGAGGGGACTCTGGACGGAGGGGCCTGAGACGAAGGGGCCTGGACAGAGGGGCCGGGACGGAGGGGCCTGGACACAGGGGACCGGGAACGGAGGGACCGGGACGGAGGGGCCTGGAACACCAGGGCCCTTGACGAAAGGGGCCTGGACGAGGGGCCTGGACGGAGGGGCCTGGACACAGGGGCCTGGACGCAGGGGCCTGGGACGGAGGGGCCTGGGACGGAGGGGCCTGGGACGGAGGGGCCTGGACACAGGGGCCTGGACGGAGGGGCCTGGGACGGAGGGGCCTGGGACGGAGGGCCCTAGGACACAGGCGCCTGGACGGAAGGGCATGGAACACAGGGGCCTGGACGGAGGGGCCTGGGACGGAGGGGCCTGGACGGAGGGGCCTGGGACGGAGGGGCCTGGACGGAGGGGCCTGGGACGGAGGGGCCTGGACACAGGGGCCTGGACAGAGGGGCCTGGGACGGAGGGGCCTGGGGACGGAGGGGCCTGGGACGGAGGGGCCTGGACAGAGGGGCCTGGGACGGAGGGGCCTGGGACGGAGGGGCCGGGGACGGAGGGGCTGGACGGAGGGGCTGGACGAGGGCCTGGACGGAGGGGCCTGGGACGGAGGGGGCCTGGACAAGGGGCCTGGACAAGGGGCCTGGACAGACGGGCCCTGACGAGGGGCCCTGGACGGAGGGGCATGGACGGAGGGGCCTGGACGAGGGGCCTGAACGGAGGGTCCTGGACAGAGGGGCCTGGACACAGGGGCCTGACGGAGGGGCCGGACAACGGGGCCTGGACGGAGGGCCCTGGACGACGGAGTGGCACCCCGGACGGAGGGGCCTGGGACGGAGGGCCTGGAAGGAGGGGCCTGGACGGAGGGGCCTGGACACAAGGGGCCTGGACAAGGGGCCTGGACGGAGGGGCCGGGACCAGGGGCCCACGGACGGGGCCGGACGGAGGGGCTGGGACGGAGGGGCTGGACAGAGGGGCCTGGGACGGAGGGGCCTGGACGGAGGGGCCTGGACGGAGGGGCCTGGACGGAGGGGCCTGGGATGGAGGGGCCTGGACGGAGGGGCCTGGACGGAGGGGCCTGGGACAGAGGGGCCTGGACAGAGGGGCTGGGACAGAGGGGCCTGGACACAGGGGCCTTGGCACACAGGGGCCTGGACAGATGGGCCTGGGACAGAAGGCGGCCTTGACAGATGGGTCCCTGGGACACAGGGGACTGGGGAACAGGGGCCTGGACACCGGGGCTGGGACAGAGGGGCCTGGACAGAGGGGCCTGGGACACAGGGGCCTGGGACACAGGGGCCTGGGACACAGGGGCCTGCCGCCTGGACACAGGGGCCTGACAGAGGGGCTGGGACAGAGGGCTGGACACATGGGCTTGGACACAGGGGCCTGGGACACAGGGGCCTGGACGGAGGGGCCTGGACGGAGGGGCCTGGACAGAGGGGCCTGGACAGAGGGGCCTGGGACGGAGGGGCCTGGACGGAGGGGCCTGGGATGGAGGGGCCTGGACAGAGGGGCCTGGGACGGAGGGGCCTGGACGCAGGGGCCTGGACAGAGGGGCCTGTATGGAGGGGCCTGGGCAGGCAGTGCTGCTGAGCAGAGGCCCTGGACGGGGCGGAGGGTCTGGCTGGCAGCCTGCTCTGTTGCTCCGGATGGCATGACCAACCCTCCCTAACCTGCCGTGACTGTACCCTCATCTGAGAGACGGGGACAGCCTCCCCTGCCCAGCGCCCCCCACAGAGTTGGCAGGTGGATGTGGAGGGTGCCACACCCTGGGCGCTACATGGAAGACAGGGTCGCGTCAGTCCCCCCAGCCCAGCCGCCCACTGCAGTCCAGCCTGGGTTGTTTGCTGTCACCTGTGAAAGCTTTGCCTCCCTGACAGGGCCGGCCCGGCTCAGGCCCGCTCAGCCCTGCAAAACCGTTTGCAGCTCCGGTCCCTCGGGTCTCGGTCAAGCTCGGGGGAACTGCTTTTCCCCATCCCCCAGCAACAGCAACATTAACCAGGGCCGTCACAATAACACCTGCGTGCACTTGAACAGTTTGTAAGCTGCCTTCACCACTGTCTATCATTTGATGACCACACAACCTTGAGAAGTGACCTACTGATGGCACTCGAGAGGAGAGACAAGCCCGGGGTCATGAGGTGCGGGGGTCACACACTTTCGTGTCAGACTACCGAAGTGTAAATTGTGGGTCCTTCTTGGTCAAGTTATGGGACCACCCTGAGCCTCAGCGGCCCACCTGTGAACTGAGACAGCTGCAGAGTCCACGTCATGGGCGCATCGGCCTGGCCTGGGCCCGGGGAAGAGCCAGCCCCTTGCCCCGCAGCGAGGGCCCTGCCCCCACCCAGGCTGGGCCGACTCACCGAGCACAATGGCCAGCATCTGGGTGGCCTTCCTCTCCTTCTGCTGCGACAGCTTCCTGCGGCTCAGCGTCTTCAGCGAGGTCCGGGTCTTGCCATTGGGCATGGACTGGATCTCGAAGATCTTGGCGATCTTGGGGTGGTCTTTGGCATGCCCATTCTTCTCGGGTTTGGCGGGGCTGTCGGGAGTGCTGTGGTGGGACGGGTCGGGAAGGGTCAGCTGGTGGTGGCTGGGCGGGATGGGGCTGTACCGGGTCCTCTCGGGTGGGCTGGTGCTGGAGAGCATCTCCATCTCCAGCTCCTGGGCTCGGCGGGCAGCCTCCTGCACGAGGCAGAGAGCGCTGGGTAAGCCAGGCACGTGCTCAGGCGGTAGCCGCCCCGCCTCACCTGGCCTCTCTGCCCCCTGGCCTGACCAGGCCGCCCCGGTCCTTCCTCTCCAGACCCCTGCGAACGCCACCGGCCGTTCATCAGAGGCACGGGGGTGATCGCTCGGAGGCCGGGGCTGTCTGGGTGCAGGACCCAGGACCCACGGCAGTTCCTGCCTGCAGGGTCATCCGGAGCAATCCTTACACATCCTCAGTAACCCCACAACCATCTGGGGGGGTACTACCCATACACTTGTCTTTTATTAACTGCACAACCCTCCCTGAGTACCAGCAAGTGCCAGGTGCCGAGCTGGGGCCTGGGGTAGGTTCCTGACGAGTCAGTGCTGCCCCGGAGCTGTGCTCACACTGCACAGAGGGCGCTCCTGTTCCTTCTGCAGCTGACGGGTGCCCCGCACCGCACCACCAGGGGGCGCCGCCTCTCCTGAGCCCCCACACCACAGCTTGGCTGACCTGGAGGGCCTCGGCCTGAGCTGCTGAAATGTAGCCTCCTCACGTGCCCGGGAGGCATAACTGGGGTGCTACCTCGGCCCCAGTCCGGACTCCCTGTTCTGGCTCCTCTCTTGAATGGCTCCTTGGAGTCCTGCTCTTGCCGGGCAGGTGAATGGCGGGGCCCTGCCTCCCGAGGACACCTGCTGGGACTTCCTGTGTTCCCTGCCCCCCCCATGGAGAACCTGCTGCTTGGACCCTGGTGCTGCCCCCACTGGCAAAGCCTGGCGTGGGCTGTGGTTCTGCACCTCGGGCTCTGCTGGAGGCTGCGCTTCCCACCAGCCTGCGGTGCTCCGCTCCCTGGTGGCCGGGCGCCCGCCCAGCCCCCAGCCCAGAACCCGGGCAGCTCCTGCGGGTGCACGGCCGAGGCGTGGGTGTCAGACACAGAGGTCTGCGTGTGCTCTCTCGGCCTGACTCCGGCCGTGGGCGGGTTGCCTGTCCTCTCTGAGCCTGCTCCCTCTTCCGGGAGTTGGAGGTGGACACAAGCAATGAGGTTTACCTCCCAGGGTTGCTGTGAGGATTGGATGCGATCACAGGAACACGGTCGGTGTTCAGTGAGTGGTGATGGCCAGTCTTAGTTTTACCTTGTTAAAAGCCCTTTCTCCCACCCGTTTTCTGTGCTGGGCACCTCTCTGTGCCTTGCAGAAGTGTGCCTGCTCACCCTGTGCGAGGTGTGTGGTCTCGGCTGGGCACAAGGGAGGGGTCCCAGGAAGTGTTTCTCCCTCTGACCGGTTGGTGAGGTTTCTGAGAATCGTGGCAGGTGGGTTTCCTTAGAGTGGGAAGACCTGCTGTGAGTCCCTGCCTGACACTTACCGCTCTCCGCCTGTTCACAGGGAAACTGCCGTTAGACTTCATGATAACGGTGCAGAGTCTCATGTCCTCGGGGTGAGCACAGCTGCCCTGTGGAGTGAGCCAGCACACTGGTCATGACAGGGAGGCGGGTGGGGCACCCAGTGCCGGGCAGGCAGATTGGCAGAGGGGCTCAGGGCAGGGAAGGGGCGTGGGGGTCTGCAGAAGCCATCGAGGTAAGGGAGAGGCCTGTAGTGTGATGAGACGAGGGGACAGGACGAGGGACAAATGAGCCCTGACTTTGTGGGGTACCTGCAGAGGGTCTGGCACCCCACTGGGCACACTCACATCATTCTCACATGGAATCCTCAAGACAACCCTATCAGGTCAGTGTTATTCCCATTTAACAGATGAGAAAGCTGAGGCTCAGAGAAGTTAAGCAAGTTGCCCAAGGTCATTCAGCAAAAGTGGCAGTGCCAGGGTCTGAACCTGATGTGTCTAACCCCAAAGCTCTTGTTCCTTCCATGCCCACACACTGTCTTCCTCAGGGAGGGCTGAGCAGAGGGGGGACTTCACAAGAAAGAGGGGAGAGGGCTTGGAAGAGGGAAGAGGAGAGAAGTGGGAAGGAGCAAGGGAAGATGAGGAGGTGTGCAGAGGGGAGGACAGAGAATGTGTACACAGAGGGGAGGACGGAGAGTGTGCACAGAGGGAGGACGGAGAGTGAAAGAGGGGAGGACAGAGAGTGTGCACAGAGGGAGGACGGAGAGTGTGCACAGAGGGAGGACGGAGAGTGTGCACAGAGGGGAGGACAGAGAGTGTGCACAGAGGGAGGACGGAGAGTGTGCACAGAGGGAGGACAGAGAGTGTGCACAGGGGGTGGGCGGAGAGTGTGCACAGAGGGAGGATGGAGAGTGTGCACAGGGGGTGGGCGGAGAGTGTGCACAGAGGGAAGACGGAGAGTGTGCACAGAGGGAGGACAAAGAGTGTGCACAGAGGGAGGACGGAGAGTGTGCACAGAGGGAGGATGGAGAGTGTGCACAGAGGAGAGGACGGAGAGTGTGCACAGAGGGAGGACGGAGAGTGTGTGCACAGAGGGGAGGACGGAGAGGGTGCACAGAGGAAGGACGGAGAGTGTGTGCACAGAAGGATGACGAAGAGTGTGCACAGAGGGAGGACGGAGAGTGTCCACAGAGGAAGGACGGAGAGTGTGCACAGAGGGAGGACGGAGAGTGTGTGCACAGAAGGATGACGGAGAGTGTGCACAGAGGGAGGACGGAGAGTGTGCACAGAGGAAGGACGGAGAGTGTGTGCACAGAAGGATGACGAAGAGTGTCCACAGAGGAAGGACGGAGAGTGTGCACAGAGGGAGGACGGAGAGTGTGTGCACAGAAGGAGGACGGAGAGTGTGCACAGAGGGAGGACGGAGAGTGTGCACAGAGGGAGGACGGAGAGTGTGCACAGAGGGAGGACGGAGTGTGTGCACAGAAGGATGACGGAGAGTGTGCACAGAGGGAGGACGGAGAGTGTGCACAGAGGGAGGCCGGAGAGTGTGCACAGAGGGAGGACGGAGAGTGTGCACAGAGGGATGACGAAGAGTGTGCACAGAGGGAGGACGGAGAGTGTGCACAGAGGAAGGATGGAGAGTGTGGGCCGCGAAGGGGATGGGATGGAGCATCAGTGAGAAGGAAGGGTAGACAGGGAGATGAGAGTGGAAAGGAGGAGCGAGGAAAAGAGAAGAGAGGAGGCCAGGAGGGTGCCAAGGGCTGTTGCATTTAGACAAAGATCTCCAAGCAAAGACCTCTCCTCCCTGGTCACCTCCACCACCCGCCCCACCTCCCACTCCTGGAGATTCACGTCCCTCCACCGAGGCCGAAGCGTTTGAAATCTGCCCTGCCCAGCTGCTCAGAGCTCCCCGGTCCTGGACTCCCTCCTGCTGCGGGGTCCCTGGTCCCCGCTGGGCACTGGATGACCCACCTCAGTTAACTGGGGACACTGGAGGGGTGGGGGCCTTGGGACCTTGAGTGGGGCCTTCAGGTTGGCCCTGAAGGCCCGGCTGCTGCGCTTGGTGTTGACCCGCTTCCGGCGCCTGCGGAGGACCGTGTAGATCTTGATGTAGACCAGCAGGGTGACGATGAAGGGCACGTAGAAGGAGACCACGGAGGAGTAGACCACGAAGGCGGGGTTGGCGATGATGCACTCGCTCTGCTCTGGAGGAGGGAGGGCCGGGGGCAGGTCAGCACCGGGCCAGAGGTGCAGAAAGGCTCCTCTTCTCCACGGAGGCGCGGGCCCGGCTGCAGGGACCACACTAAGTCTACGCTGGCCCGGAGGCGTTACAGGCAAATAAATGTGCAGCGTGGGCCACAGCATTTAAACACACTGCACCACACACACGGCCTGACCCATGTGGCTCAGTGGTGAGGGCGTCGCCCTTGGACCAAAGGGTCATGGGTTCGATTCCCGGTCAAGGGCATGTGCCTGGGTTGCAGGTCCAACCCCTGGCCCTGGTGCGAGGCAGCCAGGCAATGTGTCTCTCTCACATCTGTTTTTTCTCTCTCCCTCCCTCTCTTCCACTGTCTAAAAATCAGTGGAAACATATCCTTGGGTAAGGGTTGACAAAAAGAGGGAGAGAACCACAGCTGTGAGCAAAAAGTCAAGCTGTGAGCGACTGCTTCCCAGTTTTTTCATTAATGTTTCCTTTGTTACATCGTCATTCGTTCTGCAGTCTATCACCACACAAGCTGAGCCAGGGTGTTCAGAAAAAAATGCCCAAAGATACTCATTTTAAAAGAGGAAGCCATTATTCTAGCCTTTCCTGTAAACTGCGAGGGTGGGGTGGGGGAGGCCTGCCACCTTTTCATCTTAGGGACAAGGTGACTGTGGACGCACCTGTGTCCCCTGGGTTTCCAGGACAAGGTGACTGTTTGTGGACGCACCTGTGTCCCCTGGGTTTCCAGGACAAGGTGACTGTTTGTGGACGCACCTGTGTCCCCTGGGTTTCCAGGACAAGGTGACTGTTTGTGGACGCACCTGTGTCCCCTGGGTTTCCAGGACAAGGTAACTGTTTGTGGACGCACCTGTGTCCCCTGGGTTTCCAGGCTCTCCCCGGTCTAGCAGATGACTGTCCTAGCTCAGGCCCTTCCCAGGTCGATCCGAGCACAGTTAGGCCTCTCCCCACTTCTTGCGATTCCCACAAGAGTTAGGCTTGGTAGCGCACACTCATGGCTTCCTTGCACTTCAGTCCTGTGATGGTCTCCGGAGGCACTGCCCTGCCTCCCTGCGTGAGGAAGCCCGAGGCCGCACCAGCAGGTGGCCCAGTGCCTCTCCTGTGGCCCTGCTCCAACGCCCTGCAAGGGCAGGCCAGGTGCCCGGGCTGGTCTCTGCCTCTTCCCTCCGGTGGCGGAGGCCTGGCCTGAGCCCGGCTGGCCCTGCCGCTGCGGCCTCATTCACACACTATCGCGGGGGCGAGGGAGCCCGGCAGCCTCCCCATGTGTGCACACACCAGGCACACGTGTGCAGGTTGTGAGGCCCTCTGGCCTGCTTCGAGCTAATAAACAAGGTGGAAAATGGCCAGACATCCCCCTAAATCATTATCCCCGCCCCTCGCCCAACTCCGTTGTCACTGACTGTTCATCTCTGGCCCTGCCAGGTGCCACACAAGTAGGGCGTGGCCCAGGAGACCCCCTGGCCTCAGTCCAGGCCGGTGATCAGCCCCCGCGGTCTCCGCCGTGCCTGTGCCAGCGGCTCAGCTCCCTCAGGACCCCGCACGTTGGCCAGCTGAGCCCTCGGCGACAGAGGCAGGCTCACCTGTGTTGTTGAGTCCGAAGAGCAGCGGGCAGGAGATGGTGAAGGACAGGACCCAGACGATGGCAATCATGACGGTGACGCGGCGCTTGGAGCTGTAGCGCGTGTTGTAGAGCATGGGCATGGCCACGGCCGTGTACCTGGGAGGGAGGGGCCACTGCACCACACGCACGGCCAGACGCCTCTCGGGGGAGGACAGCTGGCCCTTCTGTTCACTCTAAGTCAACCCTCCTTCCTGCCCCCAGCTCAGCGAAGACCGTTGTTGCTGCCCAGTTAACTGGCCACCATTAGTCCTGGGCCATAGCTTTCACTCCAGTCTCCCCACTTGGATATCAGGCTTTGTGAGGGGCCCTGAACTGGTCTTTGCACCTTTGAACTGTACCTAGTCCACCCGTGTGGGGTCCACTGAACACAGAAGCGTCTGTTGAGGGACTGGACCTCAGAGCAAGGGTTCAGCCCCATTCGGCAGGAAATAACAACCATGGGAATTGTGTATGAAGCCTGACAGTCCTCTACCCGGCCCTGCTCATCATGAGCTCATCTTGTCTTCCAAGAATCCTGCAAAGGGAGTGGGGTGGGCCTCTGGGAGCCCACGTGGCTTGTGTGCTCGAATCAGTGCAAGGCTCGGCGCACAGCTTAGCCATGGGCCCTGTGCTGGACATGACGTGCAGAGCCAGACACCAGCGCTCCAGTGAGCAGCTGCCTCATCCTTGGTGTCTGGACACTGAAGGTAGGTTCCGAGAACTCCCATGATGTGCCCAAGGTCACCTCAGTTGAAAGTGATAGAACTGGGGCCTCAGTCCGAATCAGCCGCTTTCTCTTCACACCAGTCTGGGCATCTTGGCAGCATCACTGTCCGTAAGGTGACACTTTCCCAGCCAGACACATGCACCTACACACATGTGCATGTGTGCAAACATGTACAGGCATGCATACATGCACACACAGGGACTCACAGGCACAAAGCCAGCCACGTGGCATCACAGACAGAGCCTGACCCCGAAGGACAGGTGGGGCAGCCTGAACGGTGGATGGCCTGGCAGCCTCTCCCACCTGACTGGGCTCACCTGTCGATGCTGATGGCACACAGGTTCAGGATGCTGGCTGTGCACATCATGACGTCCAGAGTGACAAAGATGTCACAGTGAACCCTGCTGAATCTCCACTCGCCCACCACCTGGGGACAAAGCAACACGGTAGGTGGACAGCAGAGGGCAGGCTAGCTCAGCCCGGAGGCTCGGCTCTCCCGGGGGGATCAGGCCACGGGCTCAGAGCGCAGCTGCAGGGGTCTGGGCGAGAAGGGCAGCAATGGGGAGTCGTGCCCACAATGTCTGAGGCCCTGGCCCGTGGCCCTCTCTTCCTAGACACATAGACTACCTGTGCCAAGAACTGTGCTGGAGGAAAGATGACCAACTTATAATGAGGGCTTCAGTGTTTTATCTGTAAAACATCTGTGTGACCACCTCGCAACCCCCTTTGACCAATGAGGAAACCTCAGAAAAGTGCAGCGACTTCCCAGGCCACTCAGCTCAGAGTCGGGCGCCGCTCTGACCCGGGTTCCCGGGAGCCAGGCAGCCCCTTCAGTGCCCAGCATGGTGTGTGGCCCAGGGCAGGGCCCGACAAGTGACTGCTGAGAACAGGGGTGAAGACAACGGCCCTAGGAAACGGACATGTCGGCTCCTTGTTACACCTGGAGAATAGAAGGGAAATCTGGGCTGGGGCCTGAGGAACACCGGAGTGGGCGGGAGCTGCAAGGACAGAGGAGCCCTGATGGGATGAGGAGCACAGCTACTGGCAGGAGCACTTTGTATCCGTCCAGGCCCACCACAGCCACACCGTCCTCACACACCCACCCTTACACACACACACCCTTACACACACAGACCCTTATACACACACACCCTTATACACACATACACCCCTTATACACACACACACACCCTTACACACACACACCCTTACACACACACCCTTACACACACACACCCTTACACACACACCCTTACACACACACACCCTTATACACACACACCCTTATACACACACACACCCTTATACACACACACCCTTATACACACATACACCCCTTATACACACACACACCCTTACACACACACACCCTTACACACACCCTTACACACACACCCTTATACACACACACACACCCTTACACACACACACCCTTACACACACCCTTACACACACACACCCTTATACACACACACCCTTATACACACATACACCCCTTATACACACACACACCCTTACACACACACACCCTTACACACACCCTTACACACACACACCCTTATACACACACACCCTTATACACACACACCCTTACACACACCCTTACACACACACACCCTTATACACACACACCCTTATACACACATACACCCCCTTACACACACACACCCTTACACACACACACCCTTACACACACACCCCCTTACACACACCCTTACACACACACACCCTTACACACACACACCCTTACACACACACACCCTTATACACACACACCCTTACACACACCCTTTATACACACACACACCCTTACACACACACACCCTTATACACACACACACCCTTATACACACACACACACCCTTACACACACACACCCTTATACACACGTACACCACCTTATACACACGTACACCCCCTTACACATACACACCCTTACACACACACACCCCCTTATACACACACACCCCTTATACACATGTACACCCCCTTACACACACACACCCTTACACACACACCCTCACACACACATACACCCCCTTGCACACACCCCCTTATACACACACCCTTATACACACACCCTTATACACACACACACCCTTATACACATGTACACCCCCTTACACACACACACACCCTTATACACACACACACCCTTATACACACGTACACCACCTTATACACACGTACACCCCCTTATACACACACCCTTACACACACCCTTACACACAGTCACACACACTCTTACACACACACCCTTACACACATACCCCCTCACACACACTCTTACACACATGCCCCTTATACACACGCACACCCCTTATACACACACACCCTTACACACACCCTCATACACACACCCTTACACACGCACCCTTGCACACACACCCCTTGCCCACACACACACACCCTTATACACACACACCCTCTTACACACACACCCCTTATACACACACACCCTTATACACACATACTCACCCTTATACACACACCCTTACACACACTCACACTGTTATACACACACACACACGTGTGCGCCCATGCCCTCCCCCACGCATTCACACCGCACGCCTCCGTTTACACACGGGCTCTCGGGCTCACACAGCAGGCTGGCCCTGGCGACTCTGACGTCTGGAGCAGCCGGTCCCTGAGCAGTCAGGACAGGGAGATGCACTCGGGCCTCCACCAACAGGAGAAAAGAGGCGCAGGAAGCCCCTCCCGCGGCAGCAGGGCAGTGCCCAGGCTGCGCGCAGCTGGGCAGCGGGCCTGACTCACCCTGCTCATTCTCAGCGCTGCCCTCTTTTCGGCTCTCAGGCATAAAACCAAATGTCGGCATTAAGCTCAGTGACGGCCCAGCAGTGGCTCCAGTGTGGAGGGATCAGCAGCCTCTCCCGGAAGGCGGGGGCCCTGATGGCTCCGTCTTCTCTGGGGCTCCTGTGGGGCCCACACCAGGACCTCCGCCTTCTCTGGGGCTCCTGTGGGGCCCACACCAGGACCTCCCAGGTCGCAGCACTGGGTCCCTGTGCCTCGGGGCAGCACTGACCAGATGGGCGGAAGCTGAATGCTCTGTGGGGGTGCAGGGGGATGGCGCGCTTTCCTGGCATAAACAAAGTCTACTTGGCACCACTGGGAGAGTTCGGGCCCACCTGGTCCGCTTCCCTTGAAGTGTCCCCCAAACTAGGTTTCATGTCCCGGGGGATCCAGTCTAGACCTTGCCCATTCCCCCTGCTTTCCTTCTTTCCCACAGACACTCAGTATGTGCCAGGCTCTGTCCTGGACCCCGGGTTCAATGATGAGCAGAACTGACAAGTCCCTGCCTCTAGGGAGCTCTCGATCCCTCCCCAAAGGTCTTTCTGGAGCAGGAAGGGAGTGGTCACCCCTCCCCTGCTCTGTCCAGGTGTCAGGAACAGCTGATCCAGAACACAGGGAGCAGCTGCCTCAGGGGAATGTGCTGGTAACATTGTTTCTAGAACACCTACTGTGGGCATTACTTTGTCTCCTGTACTGTTCTTAAAGCTCATAGGGGAGCGCTTGTGTCAGTCACGGAGCAGGGAACCGGATTGGGCGGCGGCAGGGGGGGATGCAAAGCCCATCCTTGGGCAACAGGACCTATGCTGTCCCTATGCTGTCTTGGGAAGACCATCAGGCATGTCAAAGAGGAGATAATTGTGTAAAAAGTGTTCAACAAAGTGTGAAAGGAAAGAGTCTAATTGCAAGGGTGCATAGACTTGGGGTCAAACAGGAAAACGGACTTGCCTGAGATCACCTGTGACTTGGTGGCAGAGAGAGAACTGGACCCAGGCTTCTGTCTGACCTGTGGACCCACGCACTACCCTGCTGCTCACACAGACCGGGTCCTGCAGGACGGCCTCGAGCCGGCTAAAGCTTAACAACAGTGAGCACCTGTGCTGCGCGTACTGTGTGTCAGGCGTGGTCCCCGACTCACGCTCCTGCCCATGGAACATGACAGCCAACCCTGGAGCTATGACATGGCTGCCCACCTCGCGACCCCCGGGTCACTCTCCCTGCCAGGAGCTCACACCCCCTGTGCCTCTGCCTGGGGAGCAAGTGGCCAGCTTCCTGCCCAGGGTGAGCCTTCCGAAAGCACCGCGTCCTGGTCCCCACATGCCCAGTCACACGTCCCTGGTGTCCCCGGCCCTGTGGGGACTGCTCCGACGCCGCGTCCACCAGGCAGCACGGCAGTGCCCCCCCCCCACCCCCCCCCAGGCTCCTTGCTCACGGCAGGCCGGTGCTTTAGACTCAGGGTGGGACTTAGAACTGGGCAGCACGTGTTGAATGAGGGAATAAATAACTGCGGCCTGAGTCTGCTCGGCTGTCTGGCTGTCTCATCTGCTCATCGGGAACACGCCCACGACAGCCCTCCGCCCCAGGGCACGCTGAGGGGTGGGGCTGCAGCCAGGGCCAGACTGTATTCCAGCAGGAGCCCCACCACAGGGAAGTGGGGGTCGCTCCTGAGCCCAGTCCTCCCGCGCCAGCACCACTGTGCCTTCCACACCCCAGTGGGCTCGGGGACGCTCATCCAGCTCCACGTGACATGCTGATGTGGCAGCTATGGGGGCATTTCCATCGCTGGGAGTGTGGTGAGAGGAAAATTCTCAACAGGGGACAGCGTGTGGCTGCAAGGATTCGTGGGCAGGACGTTGGGGCAGAGTGAGACCCCACTGGGGACATTCTCTGGGGACAACAAACAGCTGAGACATGTCCTGTGAGAGGGCTCACTGTCCGTACTGTGGTGGGAGACTGGGAGACGCCTTCTCCAGCCTGCTCTGGACCCCGAGCCTCCCTTACGGTACCGGTGCACAGGCGGGGTCTCACCTGTTCCCGGGACCCCGAGATTCCCTTACGGTACTGGTGCACAGGTGGGGTCTCATCTGTTCCCGGGACCCCGAGCCTCCTTTACGGTACCGGTGCACAGGCGGGGTCTCACCTGTTCCCGGGACCCCGAGCCTCCCTTACGGTACCAGTGCACAGGCAGGGTCTCATCTGTTCCTGGGACCCCGAACCTCCCTTACGGTACCGGTGCACAGGCAGGGCCTCACCTGTTCCCGGGACCCCGAGACGGCCAGGAGCCCAGCACGGCCCTAGATCAGCCACCTAGAGTGTGGGGAGGGGCAGTGGGTCTGACAGCCCGGCGGAGCGCACCCCACTCTGGGGAGAGGGTGCGTCCTTGCCTGCTGTGCAGAGGGGCTGGATGTGTACGGCCGTTCATCTTGAATGCCACGGTCACAGCCGACTGCACACAGTGCTCAGGATGTGCCGGGTTCCACACGCAGCACATTATATACATTAATTCATTCGATCCTCAAACAATTCTATGAGATCGGCACTGTGATTATCTCCACTAGACAGATAAGGAACCGACACACGGAGAGGTCGTTTTCCCTGGGGTCTGAGGCCTGGGCCCTCCCCTGAGCACGAGCAGGAGGGGACAGGCCTGTGGACTAAGGAGCGCCCTTGGGACAGGCCCTCAGACCCTTGTGGATGAGCGATCTGGGGGCCTCACACACACTGGGGTCACAGAGAAGCTGCACCCCTGGCCTGGGGCACCTGTCTGTCGTCTTGTTTTGTGTCTCTTGTTTGTTCCCTTTCGGTCCTACTTAACATCCAGTCGGGTGGCTTGGGATGTTCCAGTCTGCTTGGGCCATGCTGAGGGGACCAGGGAGTGAGGGACGGGGGCTCCCCGCGGGCCAGGAAGCACAGGGAGCCCCATGGGGAGAGGGGGCCGGAGAAGTGCACTTTTCACTACTCCCTCCCCCTCCTCAGCTTCTCCACAGGTCTCCTCTGCTCCAGCCTGCCAAGGGCTCCGTCTCTGAGAAGAGGCGCTTGCCCCACGGCACAGGTACATTCCGTCTAGGCCGCAGGAGGGAAGCAGCTCAGTGATCTCGCCCTGGCCAGTGTGGCTCAGCGGGTAGAGTGTCAGCCCTCAGACCAAAGAGTCGCAGGTTCAATTCCGGTCAAGGCCATGTACCTCGGTTGCAGGTTCGATCCCCAGCCCTGGTCGAGGTCATGCGGGGGGCAACCGATTGGTGTGTCTCTCTCACATCGCTGTTTCTCTCTCTCTCCCTTCTTCCCTCCCACTCTATCTGAACAATTCAATGGAAAAGTATCCTCAGGTGAGGATTAAAAACAAAAGCAAAAACAAAGAAACAGCTTAGTGATCTTAGTGACCTTAGCATTGTTTCTTTCCTGAACACCTGGTCAGATTCCTATGCACCCAGACTGCACCCCAGAACCCTGGGCAGAGAACGGGGCAGGGTCCAGCTGGTGCCCACTCACACCCCTCAGACCCTCCACACCTGCCCGCCAGCTGTCCACCGGGGACTTCCCTATCAGTGGCGTCTCCCCCGCTGTGTGATCTGGGTGACAACGGGCAACCCTCAAGTTTCTTCTTCTGTAAAGTGAGAATAGGACCCACTCCCAGCATCAGCTGAGTGGTTGCCAAGTCTGTGCCTGCACGTGCCTGGCACCACGCCTGTCCCAGCGCCGGCTGCCCACGCAGCACCGCGGGGCACACAGCTGGGCTCTGTCCGGGCTGAGCAGTGGGGACGCTGGTCCCTCCTGAGGAAAGGGCCGCAGCACAGTTCCCGGGGCCTCGAACTGCGGGTCCCACACACAGGGGCTAGAACAAACTGGGGCGGGGGAGGGAGGAGGTAGCACAGAGCAGCAGCACCCCCGTTTGAAGTGGGGAGAGAGGGATGAAGAGTCTGGCCTGAAGCAGGAGCCTCTCCCGTCCTTGGGGTCCTCATCAGGTGTGCCCACTTACAGCAGGACTAATGAACCCGCTCCGGGCCAGCCAGTGCCAGCTCCAACTGTGCGACGCTGCAGAGGCCCCCTCGCTGCTGCGAAGTGGCGACAACGCCCGGGGCTCTCAGGACTGCTGTGAGGGTGCTGGGAAGTACTGCATATACAGGACTTCACACAGGGCCTGGCACTTGGAAGGGCTCTATAACTGACAGCTGGGACTGTTACGGAGACCATCTACCCATTTTATAAGAAGAAAAACAGCCCAGAGTGGAGGAAGAGACCATCGGAGAAAGCACCAGGCGTCGTTGGGTAAAAGCAGTGAGGAGCCCAGACCTGAGCCCCAGCAGTGTCCTCTGCAGAAGGCTGAGGAGGGCTGGGCCCGACCCACCTCCAGGTAGACGCCCCAGGGCATCACGAGCGTGGCCACCAGGAGGTCGGCGACCGCGAGGCTGACGATCAGGTAGTTGGTGGTGGTCTGCAGCGCCTTCTCCCGGGACACAGCCATGCACACCAGCACGTTGCCGAAGACGATGATGAAGATGAGCAGGACGAGCAGGGTGGCGTAGTAGTTGTAGTGCTGCTCGTCGGACTTTCCTTCAGACCCGTTGAAGGGCCGGCTCCAGTTCTGGCTCCCCGGGTCGGCAGGGTACCAGGACAGGTTCAGGGGATCCATGGGGGTAGCAGGGCCACTGGGTGGCCAGGCTCTGGCCAAGAGAAACGAAACAGACACAGGGAGTGAGCAGCAGGACCCCCCCCCCCCCGAGCATGCCGCCCCCCACCAGGACTCCAGAGCTAAAACCCACCAGGAGAAGTTAACAGAGAGCCCTCCAGCCTCAGCGCATTCAGATTTGCCTCCAACAATTAATTTTCTTAGCACGGAGGCCTGCTGCCACTATGCTGCTCGCAGATGGTAAAGCAAATGAGCGAGTATAATTTTTAAGAAGTTGAATAAAATAAATGAGCTTGAGGTGAGCTGACCATTCACTGGTCCGTTCAGTCAACAAACATGTCCTAAGCAGGTCCCGTGCACCACACATGGAGACACAGTAGTGAGGAGCAGAAACACGCATCCGTTCATTCTTGCATCTAGAAATATTTATTGGGCTTTGTTCTACATAGAGCTAGAAACATAGGCCGGAACAAAACACCCTGGTTCCCCAGCTCACAATCTAAAAGAAACAATGGCCAATTAATCAAGCAATTAAACCTGTGAGTGGTAGGCACCGGGAAATGGAACCTGGTTCAGGGATTTAAGGAAGGCTTCATGGAGGAAGTGATGCTCCGCACACACCGGAAGGATGTGTAGGAATTGGCCAGGTAAAGAGTTAGGAGCCAGGGAGGGTCTAGACATAGGAATCACATGTGCGAGACAGAGCTGGAGAGCAGGTGCCCGGAAGAGGCCAGAGAGAGACTCGGGCAGCTGAGCACGGGGGGCCTTGGCCTGAACTGAACTGGGAAGGCCGTAGGTGGGATCACAGAGGATCGTGCAGGGCCTTGGAGTCACACCCGTAGTTTACGCGGGAGCTAATGGCAGTGGGACCACATGGTCGGATTTGCCTCTCAGAGAGATTCCGAGGGTTGTGTAGAGAACGGAAGGTCAGGCCAAACGAGGTGGCAAGGCACCCGCTGGGAGGCTGTCGCAGGAACCCCGCAAGAAACGAGGTCTGCACTGTGCACTCAGAGCCCCGAGGAACAGGCGCCCAGCCCAAGGGGAAAGTCGTCCTGAAGAAGCGTCATCTGAGATGAAGTGGAGGAGGAGTCAGCCAGGGAACCAAGTGCGGGGGAGATGCTCCCACCAGAGAAAACACATCACATCCCAAACAGCAAATGCTTCTGGTTGGCTAAAAGTGCTGGGCATGACGGTGACCCTGGAGGGCCATTCACGGGCCAGATCAGGCTGTACGCTGGGGAGCTCCGAAAGGGGGGTGCAGAGGACTGACCCAGTGGACTGGGGCTCTGGAGAGGTCAGGGCTGCTGCAGGAGACCTTGGAGGAAGTGACATGTGGCATAATTCGGGTGCGAGGTGGCAGTTGAAAGTAGTGGGTGGGGACGAGATTGCAGAGACGTGTTCAGAATCCGTCGCTAACCTGGGAGGCAGGGTCATGGGGTTCGGTCACCGATGGATGTGGGGTGGTAGGCCACGCAGGGGAGAGGATGGGTGAGGATAACTGGATCCCGCGTGGGGCCTGGGAGGCTGGCAGTGTGCTCCCTGAGGAGGGGGAGCAGGGGCTCAGAGGATTGATAAGCCTGACAGCCTGTGTTTTGTCTGTGATTGAAACATAAAGCATGTATAATCGAGTTGGCGCTCCCGCTAACAGAAGTGTTCCTCTTTCACACAATGGAATGCAGTCTATCAGTATTCAGGCATTCTGCACAAAGCACCATGATTTCCAGGTGCTGGGTGCCCGAGAGGGTTTGAAATCTACTGACGTGCGCCATCCCGGGTGAACACGACACCACGTCCAAGGCAGGGTGGAGGGCACACCAACCTCAACAGGTCAGAGGGCCCCACCTCGCCTGGGAGAAGGGTCTGCGCACCTACGCACCCTCAAGACTCGCAGGGAAGTGTGAGAGCGGGACTGGGCGGAGAAGGTGGGCTGCTTTGCAGTCACACCCACGGCCGCAGGTGTCCCACCTCAAGGAGCTTGTGGAGTTGCCTGAATTAGGGCCACAGGGTCAGGCCCGTGGCCCCTCTCACAGGCTGTGGGCTGTCCCCGGGAAAGGGTGTGGCCTGGAGAGAGGCGTCTGTTCAGCAGCGGGTACTCACCAACCAGGAGGCCCACCTGCACGGCCAGCTGTTGACACTCCCAGGGGCTGGGGAAGGAGCAGGTTGGCTGCGCGGGGGGGCTGGGTGGCCCCCTGCAGCACCCACTGCAGAGGGTGTCCAGAAGTCAGAGGATATGCAAGAAGCCAGGTAAAGTCAATGTCCTGCTTATGCAGGTGGGGATGCCAAGGCCACACAGTGGCCAGCACCCTGGATTTGCCAGGAAGGTCCGAATTCCATGTTGTTATTTTAACTGTTTCCGTTGCCAGAGCAAGCGCTTGACTTGGTGTTATGAAATAAGTCACCTTGCTCACCGACCTCCCCAGTCCACCCACCTGCACTGCCTCCCAGGAGCCTCCCACTTTGTGTGTAAAAGCTCCAGAGACAGCCCGGCCGGTGTGGCTCAGTGGACTGAGCGCCGTCCCATGGACTGGGCGGTCCTGGTCCAATTCCCGGTCAGGGCACATGCCCAGGTTGCAGGCTCAATCCCGGCATGCAGGAAGCAGCCGATCGACGTTTCTCTCTCTCTCTCTCTCTCTCTCTCTCTCTCTCTTCCTCTCTCTATAAAGAAATCAATAAAAACATATTTTTAAAAAAAGCTCCAAATACAGTTCCCAGTCACTGAGCATTTAGCGAGCGTCAAGTGCATACATGGTCACTGCCGTTGCTTAGCACTTACTGGTTTAGCTACATGCTCCTGTCTCCTGGGAGGGGAATGGGTGATGTAACCCTGCTGCTGAGAACACCCCAACATTCACTCTGTGGAGTCTAACCTGCCCCTTCCAATGTGATGGGCCTTGGAGCTGGGCCTCGGGGAGGTGGTTAGGTCTAGATGAGGTCGTGAAGGTGGGGTCCTCGTGATGAGATGAGTGTCCTTATAAGAAGAGACACCACAAAGCTTGATGGATCCCTGTCCCCTGCCATGTGGGTGCAGTTACAAGCCAGGAAGAATCCCCACCAGAAGCCGACCACACTGGCACTCTGATCTCAGATGTCCAGTCCCCAGAACTGTTAGAACATACGTTTCTGCTGTTCAAGCTGCACAGTCTATGGTATTTCCTTACGGCAGCCCACGCTGAGAGAGACACTTGCAGAGGCCAGGCTCACTGAAGCAGGGGCTGCCTCTCCCCCAGGGTACCCTCTGCTCCCACCCCAGCCTCCCCGGGCTCCACTCCCGAGCTGGCTCCAGGCTTTGGCTCCTCAGCTGCCCTGCATGCGGGAAGAGGAGGGAGCCGGGAACAGGGAAGCTCCATTTGTGCGCGGCCTGCAAACCTCAGGTCATCCAAGTGCCAGGAGTCACCTGGCCCTCACCTGCCTCCAGTACGCATTGCCCTGCCCCAGCTCCGGAGGGCTAAGGTCTACGGAAAGATCTAGAAGCATCCGCTCCAGCGGGGGGTGGGGGGACCTAGTTCTCCCTGACACCCGGCCACCTCCAGCCTGCTGCCGCCTCACTGTGTGGAGCCTGTTCGGCAGCTTTTCAGCCAGTTGTCCAGTGAGCAAGGTGTGGTCGCCGGGGCAGAGGGACTGCGGAGCTGTCTCCAGCCGCCAACTGGTACGATCTTGGAGCCTTGCAGCTGGTCCAGCCTTCTGCGTGTGCCCTGATTTGACAATGTCTAGCTCTGGGGCAGAGGGGGACCGAGGCGTAGAGGTGCTGCTCTCCCGGTCGCCCCCACCTGCAAACTGAAACAGCTTCTCAGGAGTGTGCTGGACAACACAACTCCTCCCAAGGGCTGACCTGACACTGACGTTTTCTCTCAGGACAAACTAGGAGGCTATGGTCACTCTGTCCCCAGCCTGGTGGGGTGCAGCCTGGAACCCTGGAGGACAGCCGGCTGGTCCAAGGAGAGAGGCGTGGACTCCACCTCTCTGGCTGCAGTCTCGGTCCACCCTCCAGCAGAACTCGCAGGGCGTGAACTCAAGCCACCCAGTTCCCGTGTCCTGCCTCCTCCGAAAGTTTGGCCTTTGAAGGAATCAAAGTGTCTAAGGAGAATGAACAATCTCTTATGAGGCTCAGTGGCGGGTGAGCCATTGCTGTATTAAATGCATGGTTTCTCCCTTTTCCGAGACTTGCAGCATTTCAGTGGACAAGGAGGGAGGTAGCGTTTCATTTGCATTTCAAAGGCAGCTTGTTGGAGCAACTTCAGCTGCATGGGAATTAGAAGTGAGTGCCCCTCCTCAGACCCCACAGCTCAAGCCACCCTGCTTCTCCAGTCAAAAGTCCAGGCTGGGACTTGGGGGTTGCCCGTCCACAGCGCCCCCTGCAGCTCCAGAAATGAGAGGGAGGGGGACATGGAGGGGGACAGGGCGGGGAGGAAGCGTCCACATTCTTTCCTACCGCAAAGGGGAGCAGAGTCAGGAATAGTGAGTGCTCCACTTACTGCCGGGGGGGGGGGGGGGGGGGGGGGGGGGCTGCCTCAGCAGGGGCACAGGAACTGGGCGGCCGCAGAGACAGTCTTCTGGGCCCAGGCCTTGGGGAGGTCCCTGTGGTGGATGGATAGACAACAGTCCCATCTCATCTCCATAAAAGACCTCCAAGCCCTGGGGCTGGGGAGAGGAGGGATGGGAGGGAAGGGTCTGTGGGGAAGAGGTGGAGGACGAAGAATGGAGAGGAATGTTGGGGGGCAGAACAGGAGGCTGAGGAGCGGGGGTGGGTCAGCAGATGCACCCTCCCGCTCCTCTCCCCGAACACCCCCACCAGCCCAAGCCACACACGCAGTGCTGAGGCTGGGGGTCTCCTTAGACACCAGTAGTCACTCCGAAAATTAGAAACAGTGATTGTTTCTTCTGTCAGGAGAGGAGACACCTTCCCCTCCCAGGCATAAGCCAGATCCTGCTCCCAGAAATGCCTGGGCTCCAAGAGTTCCGGGGAGTGGTGGGGGACCCTTCCCCTCGCTGCGGAGGAGCAGATGTGAGCCAAACCTAGGCTAGTGAGGAAAGCAG